AACCAAGCTCTTGCTGCTAGAATCGACTTGGGAATTCGGCAATCGAATGAGCAGCTAAACAGCTACATCCAACAGCTGGCCGACCTCAAGTCTAAATATCAGTACGAGTTGGATCAAAAAAAGTGTCTGCGTCAGGCGAATGATGATTTGCAGACGCGTCTCAATGCCGAGATGTTGCAACGGAAAGAGATGAACTACGAAGTGGAGTCGCTTCGCGGTCAAATATTTACCATGACCACAGAATTGCAACATGCCCAGCAGCAAGCGGATCTTGGACAGCAATATAAGCAGGAGCTGGCGCGCTTGGAGGCAGAGTTTATTATCATGGGTGAGGTGCAGGTGCGATGTCGCGATCGACTGGCAGAGATCGATAACTATCGCTCTCGCGACGAGGAGCTAAAGTTACTCCAAGAGAGCTACAATGCCGAAATAAAAGGTGAGTTTTAAAAATATTCAAGTCATGTTAAACTGATCGCAACTTTCGCAACAGATCTGAAGCATACCCTGGACGAAAAGACTTCTCTACTCGAAAGCACCAAGCACAAAATCAGCGAACAAGCGATTCAATTGGGCATCAACGACAAGGTTATTGCGGAGCAGAAGCGTTTGTTGCGCACTGTCAAGGATGAATATGAGGAAAAGCTGAAGGTAAGCCTCATAACTCGCCGTCTTTTGCTGCTTATATAACCTATGCTCTTGCAGTCGGTGAATAAAAAATACGACATTCAAAAGAAGATCATCATACAAATGGAGGAAAAGCTTATGATGTCGCTGCAACACCCACAGGGTGCTGTCGGACACACAACTTGCTCGCCGGATACTGACCGAACTGGTAGGTGTACATATTAACGAAACCATTTTTATTTGTTCACAAACATATATTATGTTTCGTTTCGCAGATATCGCCTCATCCATAGAACGAAACTCTCCGCTTTCAACGTCGCTAGCATCTAGCGAGAGTCTTTCGGCAAGTCTGCGTTCCACAGAGCTGAAAAATCTGCAACAGCTGCTTGAAACGCCGGCGATAGCCGAAGTATCGAGCCAAAGGGCCGGTGGTGCTGGCCCGAGCTCAGGCACGGGCGCCTCATACGAAGACAATGCGCGCATGTCGACAATTGACTTGGCCTCATCAGCGGGCACTGCTAGTGCCATAAACATAATGCAGACGACAACGACGGCAGCACTGTCGCAAGAATTGAACCTGCCAACGACATCTAATCACACACACGCCCACCCACATTTACACTTGCAACAGCAGCAAGAGAAGCAGCAGCAACCGCAGCAGCAGTAGCCACCGCACAGTCAGCAGTAACAACTGCAGCAGACTATATGTTTGCAACAGAAAGTACACAAGGCTGTCAATTATATAAAAAGAAAATCAACACATGGTCGACGGAAAGGCAAGCATCGGCAAAAACTAATTTAAAAAAAAATCTCAAATTTTTTTTTTGTCTCCACTACCAAAAATAATTAACGTCGGATTATGAAACGAATTGTTCAGGGTTTTCGCATTCAGTTTAAAAAACTGTAACTAAAATTAAATAAAACGCAGACTCCGCGCAATAATTATAACGATTATAAACGTTTGAAATTTTAACTTGTTGGCACATTGCAATGTGTTTTGTCGTATAAATTGTATAAAAAAAGGATATAACGAAAATAGGTTTTGATATGATGAAACATTAAATGAAAATAATTCATGAGCATATTACTCCATAGTTGTTTTATTTTGGCGTGCAAAATACATTTACTAATATTTAAATGACTTAATTATTATAATTTTCACACTACAATTTTTTTTAAATAGTAGATTTAAAAAACTAATCAGGCGCGATAGCTGTGTAGCATTGCCAACAGCAAGGCCAGATGCATGTAGTTGGCAGCACCGACAGAAACAGTTGGCAGCGCCAACAGCAAACAGCTGTTATCTGATCTAAAGTTAGCAAGAAGAAGAACACCGCAACAATCAGTCGAAAACGCCTCAAAAACAATAAGCTATGTTGTCCCAATATATGGAGGAATTTGAACAGGTGCGCAAAGATTAATGGAATATGCATAATACATACTACATAGATCGAAGTTTTTTAATCTAGGAGCCTTTTGAAGTGGGCGAATTCATTGAAAGACTGACCTGGCGCACCAACAATGAGTTGCAAAATAGCGAAGACTTCAATCCGGTGGCATTGCATGACACATTCATACAGACTATTAAGGATCTGAAAATACTACAGGAGAAGCAGCAAAGTAAGTGCGAACGCTTGGAGGAGTCCCTGCGACAAGAGGAGGAGTCACATGCTAAGAAAATCTCGAAGCTGCAAGAGCGACACCAAACGGCCATCGATTGGTTCGGTCAGCTGGATGAAAAGATCAACTCTGTGGCTGGCAAGATAATGCATCTGGGCGAGCAGCTGGAAAATGTGAATACACCTCGCAGTCGATCCGTCGAGGCACAAAAGTTGCTCAGCTACATGTCTGAATTTCTAATGGCCGGGCCCGTGATAGTGAATGATATATTTAGCGATCCGGTGCGCCTGAATGAAGCAGCCGATGTGATACAGAAGCTATACGCAATTTCACAGGATCTACCACCTGGTAGTTTTGCTGAGTCGAAGCGTAAAATCGAGAAGAAATACGATGAAGTGGAGCGTAGACTTATCGAAGAGTTTGCCACGGCACAAAAGAGCGAGGACATTGAACGTATGAAGTCCCTGGCTCAAATTCTCTCTCAGTTCAAGGGCTACACTCAGTGTGTCGATGCCTACATCGAGCAAAGCCAAATGCAGCCGTATAGCGGCAAGGATATATTTATCGGCATTGTGCCCATGTGCAAGCATCACTATGAGATCATCAAGAAGGTTTTCGCCAATCCGCAGCAAGTCATGTCCAAGTTCATACTGAACATTTATCAATTAAAACTTCATCAATATGCGATGACCAAGCTGGATGACAAAAAGGACGAAGAAAAGTACCTGCGTACGCTCTATGAGCTCTATTCACGGTTAGCTAATAGAGTGCTAATAATCGTATCACTAATCCAAGTAATAATTTCATATTTGCAGCACTCTGAAATTGTCCAGTGATTTACAAGTCTACATGTCTACCATCGATGACGATCTGCTGCAAAAGCTCACACAACAAATCTTCATGAAGAATCTTGCCGGCTATGCAGAAATTGAGCTGAGATGCCTGACAGCCAAGTGCTCAACGGAGCTGGAGAAATTTTATGCCAGCAAAAAGCACCAGAAGACGCAAACCACGAAAGGTTTTCGTCGCAACATGGAGGTGCTGATTGCCACGCGAGCCAACATAAATATAGCTGCCATTGAGGATTATGGCGGCGAGACGTTCCTCTCAGAGGAGCTGGCCATTAATATGCTGCAAGAGGCTAAGGCATCGCTTAAACGCTGCAGGTTGTTGTCCAGCGAGGCTGAGCTGCCTGGGAATGCCATCAAGTTAAATGATATCTTGCTACGCTTCCTCATGCATGAGCATGTTGATTATGCGCTGGAGCTGGGCTTGCAGGCAGTGCCGTTGGCAGAGGGAAAAGTATTTCCACAATTGTACTTCTTTGATGTGGTCCAAAAGACCAATATCATTGTGCACTTGCTGGACAAACTGTGCAATTCGTCGGTTATACCCTGCGTTAGGTAACGACGCAAGTTCATAAAATATACCTAATACTAAATACTGTTTGCCTTTGCAGTAACACACCGAAATACTCAGATTATGTATTTAAAAAACGGATATTGATGGAACAGATTGAAACTAAGCTGGATCAGGGTCTGGATCGATCTATAAGTGCAGTAATTGGCTGGGTTAAGGTCTATCTGCAGTACGAGCAGAAAAAGACGGACTACAAACCCGAAACAGATGTCGACACCATCTCGTCGGCCGTAAGAATAAACCATGAAATTATATTGAGCACAATTATTTCATATCACTTATCATCCATATCAGGCTTGCCTCCAAGTGGTGCAGAATCTGCAGCCGGTTATTGTACAAATAAAGAAGTGTGTCGATGGCGAGAATCTGCAAAATGTGCTGACAGAATTCGGAACGCGCCTGCATCGCGTCATCTACGACCATTTGCAAACGATGCAATTCAATACGGCTGGCGCCATGTGCGCCATTTGCGATGTGAACGAGTATAGGAAATGTATACGTGAGCTGGACAGTCCATTGGTGACGCAGCTTTTTGATATACTTCACGCTCTGTGCAATTTGCTATTGGTAAAACCCCAAAACCTTCAAGAGGTGTGCACTGGCGATACTCTGGTATGTGTACTGATATCTCTATATGGCTTTATGTCTAATTTTACACTTTTTGTACATTTTTGGGAACAGAATTATCTAGACAAGTCGGTGGTGCGTCAATTCATCCAACTTCGTACCGACTTTCGTATCATCAAGAACACCAATTATCTAAAGGGCATCATCGAGTAGCACTATTGCCAGAGGCCGACCTATTGCTGACTCACATTCCCAAATGTATCCCTTACAATTTATTTTGTTTGTATTACTTTACATAAAAATAAACATACGATCAAAACAAACAATATACCAATATTATATTATATATGCTTAGCTTGCATCTTTAACGTTTCGTTTTTCAATTAAAGTCAAGTGCTTCATATTTTTATCTGTTCAACAGCTATCATATTTCATTAATTGAAGATTTCCTCATGTCCTAAATACTGTGAGAACGTCCCAATAGTCAATCTATATTTATCAGTGAATAGTTGCTGTACTTGCCTCACTCCATCGCCGGTGATTCGACAATAGCTCCCGTTCACAGCCAATAAATCAAAGTTTATTGTTTAAGTATACACAAATTATTTATTTCTGTGTGCATTTAATGTCGCTCGCCTAATTGCAGATAAAAACGCTACTGATTGCCAGCAGTCACTGGTTAGCAAGACTTCGACAGTTAAGTCAGTCACCTGCTAGCAGTGTAGCTAAACGTATCACACTTGGAGTATACATTCAAGGCGTTCCTTGTCGCGTGTCTGATTAAACTACCGCAGCATTATCGTGAGTCTTTGTTATTATCTTAATCAATTTGCGGGCCCAGTCCAACAGTGTACCATATATTCTAATCAAAACGATCTTGTACCACAATCGATTAAGCCATGCGCGGCTGTTTTGTTTACTACCTAAAAATACTCTGGGCTTTTTTGATTATTAACGAATCGATCGCCAGTGTCATAAAGCTCAACCCAGAAAATGTATATAAGAAGATATTATCGTTGCGCTCGTTGCCGTTCGAGGATTGCGGTGAGTACTTGGATAATCTTTAGTAGCATGGTCTCGGCCAGTTCCTGGGACTCTATAATTAATAGATCATCTTTATAAGCCTGTTCGTGCTGAAATCTAAGCTAGAGCTGTATTTATTTTATAGAATTTATGCCTTTTACCTTTGCCTTAACTTGAATGATTTCAATTTCAATAATATAAATTTGTATTATTTACACTCGGGTTTATTAAATATACTTTCTGAACGACTTGGCAATAATAAATAGACTATACAAAAATTCTGTAAACAGTAAGTTCAAGTGAGTATTTAGTAGAACTCGAGCTAAATGTACATAAAACAATGTGTATGTTTGTATGTGTATATAACTAGACTAAACCTTTTTTAAAGTATCATATGTATCATATATATTATGCCATATAATGCTTATAATTACCTCTCTATCTAGCATATATGTATATTTCTGATTACTCATTTAATTCTGATTTACGTATACAAAAACATTTCGAAATTGATAAATGTAGTTAATAAATAATCAGCTAATGAGATCTTTGATAATAAAATTACTTCGTTTGCCAATTTTCCGGTCACTAAATTAAGACCCTATCAACATATACATAGTTATATTTACTTACACTGATATATGTACCACAAAATACTATGGCATTAATCAGTGTCAAATTTTTTATTAACAAAGTTTCCCATTCACAATAGAAAAAAGTAATCTTAACCGGTTTAGCGTTTGTGTTTTCTTTTTTTTTTTTATTTTTTTTTTTTTTTTTATTATTAGTCGAAATTCTTAATAAATTAATCAATTTGTTGTGGTAGACTAAGTAACAGCAAATTAAATCAGTTGCAAGGAATATTGCCTCATGTTTTTATTTAGCGCACGAATAATGACGAAACTTAATATACGAAACTTAATTAGCTTTTATGCCATATTCTATATTACACTCGTTTCTCCCACATCCGCCTTACTTCCAATCGTTGTATAAGAGAGTACTCAATAGGTCAGTATCAGGTATCAAGCTGAGGAGTAGAATCTACTTTACAGATACACATATATATAAACTATATGGGACGTATCAAATCAAAAAATGCATTATCTTAATCCACTTTTTTACCATGTACTAAATGTAGTTGAACTATGAACAAGTATTACATATTATGCACTTGAATGAATTCAAATGCAAAGTGTTTACCTGGTCATTGGCATTAAGTGTCCAGATAACTGGTATTAAATTACATTGTTTGTAACTGCAAAATATATAAGAAATATGCATACAAATTTACATTTAATTTCGAAGTAAAATAAATATAATAATACAATAATATTGTTTAAAATTATATTTCTATGCTATAACAAATAAGGTCGCTGAACCCATTAAAAATGTGTAATCAGGGTATTTATGATAGCAACCGAGAGGGAGGCATATTTATGTATTTATTCTTCATCAACGATTAGTTCGAATGAGCCATTAATAATAATATAATATATATAATAATAATTAACACAATCGACAATATGACAAAAATAAAGCTTTGCAGCAGAGTGATTTTCATAAAATTCGTTGCAATTTTCCTCTGCAAAACACTGAAAGAATCGTCCATATTTAGTCAACTTACATGCATAGATAGCTATATATTATATTCTATTTACCTATTTATTTATTTAATCTAATGGTATTTCAGGCTCTCTGTATAATGTGAACTACCTGAACATTGAAAGCTGCTCAAAGGTGCCCTGTTCTATGACTCGCAATTCCACGGTTAAGGTTACGGTGCTCTTCGATGATAATGGTAAATATATGCTGATAACGTGGGATCATGCATTTAAAGTCTCCAATGCGCTCTCACTAAGCTCGAAGTAGTCGGAAACAGAGCCGGCTAGGCGAGGGCGACAACAATACGTATGTATTTTATATGTACATACGGAAGAGTCGGGGGAGTGCACAATCGACAATGAATGGGGGGAATTGAATCGTGTGAATTGTCGAAGAAGAAGAAGACTGTCGTAGCCGGCGATAATGTGCCATAAAAATAATTGATCAAACGGGTGTGTAAATCAAAATAATACCCAGTAATTTTGCATTATACGACATCATTTATGGCATATACGTAGTACTACTTGTTCGTATGTATGTATGTGAATGTGTAAGTGTGTGTTACCAAAGATAAGTAATACCCTACTTATAGAGTATAAATGTACATATAGACGCACTTGACTGCCATGTAGCTAGGAACGTTCTAAATGCAATCGGCGCTAGCGATATTATTGATCTCGAATGTATAAATAGACGAAATGAACCGTACCTGTGTTTTGATTATTCAGCACAAACATGTTTCTTTTTGTTTTGCAAATTTCTTCTATTGCGATCTATAATTTAAAATTTGAAGTGCCAAGTAAATTTGTATTCGCGTAAAAAATGGGAATACTGTTAGTATTAGCAATCTTTCTGTAAAAATTTGATATCAATTGAAGTGAACTGTTATAAATTGATATCACTAATCAGAGCTAAAGATCGAACATTGATGGTATATAATTTGAATTTCATTAAATTGGAATCTAATCGCGCTCAAATTGCAGGTAATGGCGTTTCGTTCTTGAAGCATGAAGTGCGTTGGGTTTTCACCTACTTGAAGACCAAGGCGGCCATATCTCCAGATCCTTGCGATGGCGATCACAACTGCATATTGAATGTAAATGAAAGCAAAAGCTATTGGGCCAATATCTTCGTTAATTCAACATTACCCGTGGTATGTGCGATAATAATTAATTTAATTGGATTATAATCCAAGAATCTTTATTGACTTTATTCCGTCTTGTAATTTGCTTACAGATGCGGGGCAGTATGCTATGGGAGGCTAAAGATGAAAACAATAAAAATCTCATTTGCTTTGAGGTCCCCGTTGTGATTACAGTATAACAACATACGCTGACACACACATAGGCATAGATATAGCGTATATCTGTGTGTTTGTGCAATGCAGATGTACATACATATTTATGATACTTGTGTAAAATATAATAAAATAATTGGTGCATGCAAAAACAATAGCAATCATTAGTGGGGCACCAAGTAGAACTACACACGGACACACAGCTTCACTCACACGCACACATGCGTCCTTTAATGATACTTTGCATGAATGAGTACTGCAGGAAGAAGTAGGAGCAGAGCAGAAACATAAATAATGAGATCTTTTGTTTTTGGCACCGAGCAGCGCTGCGCTGCCAGCGGCTAAACGAAGAAGCGACGACACAATTGGAGCATGAGCGAACGCCGTGAGAGCCGACAGCAGCGAACGAGCGGCAACGAGCAGCTACTCAGTAGCCGAGCGCACACGAAGCACGTTCGGCCGTTCAGCATCCAGATGCATTGCAATTGGCTGTTAGCTCAGTGTGTCAGTCAGTCTTTGTGGGTGCAACGCGACGGTCGTGTGAGCACAAAAATTCTAAATAAGCAGTTGCCATAGTCGCAGTTGCAGTCGTAGTCGCAGCAACTTTAAACGCAAAACTGAAAAGATTAAATCGAAGCTTCATTAGCTAATAACGCACAAGAGACGATCGATCGGTCATAGGCAAAAAGCCCTGCGCATTGTGTGTGTTTCGGGGTGTTGCCAGATTGTTGGCGTTCTGGGTGGTGGTGTTGGAGCAAGTGCGCCAGTTGAGCTCGTGGTTTGTGGTGGTTGCCAGAATCATTTCACTTATTGTGCCTCAAGTGTAAGTACAAAAACAAAAGCAATATACACTGCTCTGATGTGCTCTGCGCCGCTCTGCTCCGCTCTGGTATGCTCCGCTCTGCTCGTTTGCTTGCCATTTGCGCAATTTGGTCGGCGTAAAATGAGATTGCCTTCGTGCTAATTGCGGCAATCGGTGGGGGTAAGTGTGTAAGTGGGCCGGACCGGGGCGGCGGGTAGCTGGGGTAGCTAAAGATGGGGATGCCATGGTGACATGCAACGCCACACAGGCAATGGCCATGGCAGGCAACACTTACTTGTGAGCGCTTCATGTCCATCAGCTCTGTACTGCCTGCCGTCCATGGCAAAGTCTACGCCGTCATACCCTTTGCAACGGAAGTAATGCGGCACCCATTGTCATATCCCATTGTATCCAATGCCTCGAACCTGAACTTTGTGAGCAACTGCAAAATTAGCGACTAGAATTCGAAACCTCTTGTTCCACCCGGTCGCTCGCTCGCCTGTGCACATGCTCAGCTGAGTGTTAAAGACCCATAAATGGCAAATGAATCCCTCTGAGTGTCCAATGACAAATTGGCGCATGTTGAAAAATAAAACAAAAAATCGACAGCTTAAACTGATCTCTTTATTATTATTCATAAATTTAACGCTCTCAAGTGTCGCAATTTATCGCAAATTTTAAGCTCAACCCTGAAAGTTGTAAATCTATATCTAATACTCATAATTAATTACTCTGTGGGAAATAATTTATCGAAAATATAATTGCTTTACATTTGCAGTTAAGTTTGTTATTAGCTGAGAGAGAATTTTTTAAATATAATATAAATAGTAAATCACGAAATTAATTTGTGTCCAAGATGCAATTTTTTAGCTTGATTGCAAAAAATGAGGAAATAGTTGTTTTAACCATAAAGGCTTTTGACTGCATTCCAAGTTTAAGTGTTTCACAAATTGCAAATTGTAATAAAGATTTTATTTACTTTTTTCCCAGCCTACATCCAAGCATTTTCTTTAGTAGAATACATAGATTTTCTCATACTTTCATTAAAATATTATGCTTAAAGCATAGGAAGCATTTATAAAAACTTCACATATTCTTGTATGTCGTTTAATTATTATTATGATAATTATAAAAAAAATCATGCTGATATATTTTTTAAATTCATTATTATTATTATTATTATTTTTTCATACATTTCGATGAGACAATATTTAAGGATAATTTATGTTGGAGATTTTTGTTATTTTTATGAATTTAATATAAACCCAATCAATCAAATATTTTGCAATGTAGAGCATCAGTTCGTCATGATGGGCCATAAATCTGAGTCCAGCCTCCCCGCTTGGCAGCTTACTTTGCTTTCCTTGCGTTTACTTAAACGTAAACACTTTTTATGTGCGGCTGCCGCTGCACTTGAGCAGCAGCAACAATGCGATGTTGTTGCTGTTGTTGTTGCTGCTGTTGTTGGTCAAAGTGTTAAACGATTTGCATCATATTACATACTGCTGTTGATGCTTCGCTGGCTGGCCATTGTCGCCAGTGGCAGTGCTCTCAGTCGCTGTTGCAGTTGCAGCCTTTGGCGCAGCTATTGTGCTAAACTCTGGAGAACGCAGACGCTGAGCCCGTGGGCACATAACAAAAGCTACAACAGAGGCAACTACCACCAACGATTTATCATAGCAGCAGCAGCAGCAGCAGCAGCAGCAGCAGCAACAACAGCAATAGCAACGTCAACCGGATCTTTTAGATCGCTGCTATACATACATATATATATATATTTATATATATGTACATATATTAATACAAAGTGTAATGTGTCTGTGTGTGTGCAGCATAAAAAGATAATTTTGAGTTTTTGAATCGTTAAAAGCAATTAATTGCCACTACGCAGCAGCAGACCAGACATCCAGTCAGCCAAGCAGCCAACCAGGCAGCCATCCTGGCTGGGAACATCGACTAGCCTCATCAGTGCAGTTCATTCCATATGACAGAGCTGCTTTTGCCGGCTTTACTGCCCAATTTTGTTGCAAAATTTTGCGTTCCGCGGAACTTGGTGCATTTCATCTTGTTGTCATCAGCAATGTGGTTGTTGTTGCTGCTGTTGTTGCTGCTTTTTGTTTTTGGTGCCGCCGCGCCGATCGTCGCAGATTCATTTGTCGCTTAATGTCCCTCAATAGTGGCTGTGTTCTCGCCCCGCGCCCCACCCGCTCTGCCTCTCTGCGGTGCTCTTCCTTCTCCCATAGTTTGTTGATGCTGCTCCCAGAGTGTCTGTATCTGTATCGTCTTGGCATGTGCGGCATCTGCTGGCTGGCTGGTTGGCTGGTTGGCTGACTGGGCTTCTGTGATGAGATCTCCGCCCGGCTATATGGTGGCTACAGTATGTGCGTACGGGTGTGTGTGTGTGCTTGCGAATCTGGTGACATCCACTTGCATGCGCACATTCATCGTAGCCACAGTTTTCATGGTTTTATTTTGCTTTGCTGCACATTCACACGCAACAACACACACACACATTCAGACACACACACACACACGCATGCACTCGAAGATGGGGCACCATAAAACATTAGTTTCCCATTTGCGTGCTAAATACCCTATGTGGATCGCAGGCTGCATGCCAATTGAAAAAGGTTGTCTAAGCTGCCAATTCCGAGCAATTGGCAGATGGCTTAGGAATGTCGTTTAGACGGACCAATGATCTCTCAAGTACCAGGAATGACAGATTTTAGCTGTAATTTAAGTAATATCTTAAGACATCACTGGCAAGTGAGTTCCTTATATGAACTCGATGTCTCTGATTATGCAGTTACGAGTATATTATTAGAGATAACGTAATTTCTATATATGTATTTCAAATATCGAAAGTATCCTTTTTTTATTCACTAAACCTCTTCTATGACCTTGCTGTATATAATTTATATTAAGAATTGATTTAATTTCTCTAGGGTATCATTGCAGTCAGTAGTGGGGAATTTAAAAAAAAAAAAAATTCTCGCAGTTTGTCTGTCTGTCCGTTGCGTTCATGGCACGCACCGTGATGCGCGCTTTGAAGTCCTGTCAAGAGCTTGAGATACATTTATGTATTTTTGCATTTTCATTGCTTCCACCTTGGATGGAGTTGGGACGATGGCTAGCGGGGCGCAAATGCAAAGAATGATTAGTTAGTTGGTCAGCCAAAATGGAATAAACCGGTTCGGCCGATCCTTCAGCATAATCAACATACATAAATGCTGTTAATTATGAATGCACGGAATGCGTTAAGTTTAACCAAGAAATATGAACAGAGCGAAAGAGGGAAAGAGAGAGAGAGAGAGAGAGAGACAGAGAGATCGACAGAGAAAGAGATAGTGAGATATATATGTGGCAAACATTTATCGCAGATTGGCATCAAGTGCTCGAGCCACCCTAAAGATCAAGATGCTGATCATGTTGACGCTGGCGCTGGCACTGCTGGGCAGCCGTGCCTCGAATGCAACCATATCCATGTATCAACGGCAACATCGCGACAGCACCGACATCAAGGAGAAGATCATGGAGCTGCAGTGCCTGGCCCGCTGCGAGAATAGCACTAAAACGCAGCGATGTCTTGATCAGTGTAAATTGGAGCTGTGGCGTGCACCCAGAGCTGGCAGCTGCCCCACCAGCTCGCTGCTCGCGCGGCATGCGCGACTGCTATGCTTGGATAATTGTGCCTACGACAACGACTGCATCGAGGTGCACAAGTGCTGTGCATCCGCTTGCGGCCCCATCTGCACAGAGCCAGTGGGCGTGCGCAACTCCAGCCAGCTGCCGCCCATACCGAAGATCTTGCGCTACAAGCTGCCACGCAGCCACAAGGTGGAGCTGACCATTGAGTCGTCGCTGCTGCCCTATTACTTCCACGTGGAGGTCCGATCGCACATCGGACGCATCTTTACGCCACGCAAGATGGGCATGTGGCAGTCGCAGCAGGTCGAAAAGATACTGGAGACAACGGACGGTCGCAGCAAATTGTAGGTACTCACTCCACGGTCATATCGAAGCCACATAAACGCATTGCCCTTCTCCATAGCATGGAAATCTTCTTCAATATACGACCGGGTCGCTGGTATCAGGTGCGTGTGGCAGCGGTGAATGCTTTCGGATTCCGCGGCTACTCTCAGCCCTCACATGCCTTCACACTGCCCAGCAGTAAGTTCGAGTTTCTATTTGTAATGTAATTGGCCTAAGATATGCACATTTCAGACCCCAAGCCGCCCAGGGCGCCCGCCGCTATGAAGATCACTTCCCAGCAGTACGACGGACGACGCTATATGAGTGTCAAGCTCGTTTGGTGTCCGTCCAGATCGAATCTGCCCGTAGAGAAGTATAAAATTATCTGGTCCCTATATGTAAGCAGCAAGGAGGGCTCACTCATTACACACGAAGCCTATGTCAAGGACGTAAGTCGATTAGAGTTTCCAATTTATCTATCTGATTTATACACTTGCAATTTGACTTGCAGACGCATCAATTCGAAATTAAGAAACTGCAGCCCAACTCCTCCTACTACATACAAGTGCAGGCGATGTCCATAAGTGGATCGCAGCGTCTGAAATCGGAGAAAAAGTCGCTGTTGCACAATACAACGTTGCCGATGCATGAACTGGAGTATGCCGCACCACTTGACTGCAGCACACACCACAGCAGGCACAAGTACCATCCCAGCGCCAGCCCCAGCCAAAGCCACAGCCTCAGTCATAGTCCCACTGTAGAGACCAGCTCCATGCCAGCGATAAACAATAATGAGGGCCGCACCTCCTATGAAGTACGTTTCCGTTTGAACCGGAAATTTGGCATGATTGTGCAAATTTTGGGATTTCAGCCATACAAGGAGAAGTAAGTGTCAGAGACCCCCCTTTGGCTCCAGCTCTCATTCGCGCCGCATTGTACACATGTTATTCATGTTATTTTGATTGTTTATAAACAATTTGCTAAAATATGTATATTATTTGATTTCAGGGTATACGAGCTGTGCCCCCAAGAAACGAACTGCGAACAGCGAGAGTTCAGCGCGATCCGCGTCAAAGTAAGTACAATGCAGGGCATGGTGGTGTAGGAGGTGGAGTCTATGCCACGAGCTAGGTTCGTGCCGGTCCAATCATTGCGAAACCAACACACACAAATCACTTGTCATTTTTGGTCAATTGGATTTCGGTTGCCGTTGAGGTTTTAGTTGCATTGCCGTTTGACACGTGAGACACGTTTTCGAACAGGGCGCCATGTACGTGGCTCGATCGCTGCACCAAACCCATTAGCATGTGTCAGTGACGTACTTTCCTAGGGAATAGGCATTAGAAAGCGCTACACCAAGAAATTAGCGAATCGAAAATGTTACGAAATATGTAGATTTTACAAACAACATGTTTCTAGAAAGAAAACTTGATATTTGCAAATAAAAAATTCGGAAGTAGAAAGAAAATTTGATATTTAGAAATATATATGTGAATATATACATGTGTATATAAATATTATTAAATATACCAAACGTAGATGAGCAATGGTAATGCCATAGAGGTCCCATCCATCCCTTTTACATATAACTAAAAATCCCCAAATATTTGCTTCATTGCAGAAGGATTCACAGGAGTTTAGCAAATTGAAATTCAATACAACGTACGTGCTGAAAGCGTTGCGGCCAAGTCCAAATTCCGTACTGGAGGACAATGGACATCCATTTACATTCACAACGCCCAAGTGCGAAAGCTTTCGTAATCGCTTTCCCAAAATGCAAATCAAATGCGGCGACTAAGTGATGCGGAGTCAAAACAACCTAGACAGATAGACGATCGTACATCTGGTTGGGTTTGTGACATCTTAAAGAACAATGAGATTAAACTAGCTTGTAAATAATTGTATGTACCGACTTAACTTTTTTACTTATTGTTAACGCTAAGTGTGCAAAATAACATTGAATGTTTCACCTTGAGGAATCATATTTATTTAAAAAGATCTTTGAATTCTTGTAAGTCTCGCTGATGTTGGTCCATCGCTTGCATGCTGGGCCCGAGATGCAAAGCGCCGGGCAATTTATTAGCTTCCAGCTTGATGCCCAGCTCAATGAGTGCCGCTATAAGCCTTGTGGTGTACAACACCGGGCCACCCACCAGATGTAAGAACTCATAGTGCTTCTCTCGACGCGTGCTGAAGAGAATCCGCTTGGATACATAGTCTCCATAGTTGCTGATCCGTCCGACGCAAACGTAGCGCTTGAGAGATGGTGCATACACCTCTATGCTAGCTCTCAAACTCTCGGAAGGCGTTAGGCTGGCTGCTGGAACGTACACAATCCGGAAGGGCACATCGAGTGCTTTGTAAAAATTGATCGCCATGTTGAGCACCTGTTCCAGTTCTGCATCAGCTTCATCGGCTGTTTGGGTTGCCACAAAACTCTGCACTGCGTTCGTTTGTGTGGCTGTGTATAGGCTTGGCGTGGGTCCATTGGCCAGACCTTCCTCGCGGTTATAGCTGCGTCCGCAGGCGACATACCGCAGCGGCAGCACTGAAGGATACACGCTCAGCTTGGTCACGGTGCCCAGAAAACTTTCGAATGCACCACCGCCTGTTAGATACGCCGTATTTAGTTTGTTCAACAAATGTTCCTCACGCACAAGATGGTATTGGCTCAGGGGTGTTGCATTGGCCTCCAGCAGCACACAGCGCACAAAGTCGGGATTGCAAGTCTGTATGAAATCGCCGTGTGTTACAAAGTAGCGTACCATCGCTTGCATAGCGTCTACATCGAAATGAGCCGCTTGCTCCATCATGTAGTAGCGATTGTTGTCCAAGAAATGTATAAGATCCTTGCGATCCAAGTGCATAGCCACCGGTGTAGCGGTTGGGGGTGGTTTATGTCTATAAATGAGCTTTTCCTCATCTGTTTGTGGACAATGCGCATGCAAGACATTGGGCAGATGCAGGTAGTCATGGATAAAATCATCTTCGATCGGATATAGTGTTTGCTTTAACGATTTCACTTCGTTGCGCAACTCTTTGCCACGCGCTCGTAGTTTGTCCAGCAATTCCGATTTTCCGGCCGATTTCGTAAGTAACTTTAGCTCCTTGGTAACTTTTTCACGTTCATCCTCCAGCCGTTGTAGTTGTTCATGATGCGTCTGGTATGTCGCATATTTGGCGAGCACAGATTCCAGATTGATGTTCAAGCCACGGCTATCAATGCTCTGCTGTAAAGTCACTTTGTCGCGAAATGTGCCGGTAAAATCCAGAAATGGTTGCAAGGTTACATAGTTTTCGTTTGCCTTATCACCAGTTATGTAGAGAGCTGAGATGTGTCGCTTCAGAACGAAGCATTGTCCTACTATATTACGTAGTTTTAACATATGAAAGTTATGTTTTGTTGTTAAAAAGAAGAATTAAACCTTTATCAGCTGTGGTTTTACTTTAACAGTTCGGCGCAGCTGTTTCTCTATGTAAATAAGCTGATATTCTGTTAAGTGTATGGTGTTAAGCGGCAAACTGAAATATGTTATATGTTTTCTTACAGTTTAGGAGTAACTGCTATACATTAGCAATGGTCGCGCCATCTAGCAGACATTTTTGAAGGCATATTTAAATTTGCGGAAAACAAATATGTAATATGTAAACGTTTTTATGTGCGTCTGAATGCTTACCAAGAAAACTGAAGTACATGAAAAATAAGGAATAACATATAAGTGTCTTTGGAATATAAAACACAACATTTAATAATCACGTTTTGTAAGCAATAACAGTGGGTAAAATACAAATGTTAACAAATATTTAAATGAATCACACATTAGTAAATGACATAAGGTACTTCATGAGCAAATTCTTTGCTGGATTTAAGGCACATTAATACAGCCCATGTCTGTGGCTAATACTTTGCAGTTAGTGTTGCATTAACAGATATCATACATTACTTTCCAGATTTGCGGCAAATGAAGCTGGAGGTTTAAAATTCATGACTTCTTTGTAAATAAGCTCCTTCCATTTTTCCAATGAAAAGTCTTTTTCTTCAAAGCTTTGATCGTACAAAGGCGCAGTTTGTTCATCTCCTGGGTCTGCATACTTCTGTAAGTATGGATGAGCGAGCGCCTGCTCGGCTGTTATGCGTTTATCCGCATCCAGTTCCAACATCTTCTCGAGCAAATCAATAGCCAAAGGATTGGCATTCTTAAAAACAACTTTAAAGTCCTTTCGTTTCGTTGGCGGCAGCGAGTTAATATAGTTTCGGGCGTTGTCAGATGAGATCTTCCGCATAAAATCGTCGGGCGGTGTGCCCAACATTTCCATAATCAAATTGAGCTGATGTATGTGGTCTGTGCCTGGGAAAAGTGTGCGTCGCGTGATGAGCTCAGCCATGATACATCCCACTGACCAAATGTCGACAGTTTGACTGTAATGCATCCAGTTGAGCATAATTTCAGGAGCGCGATACCAGCGAGTGGCCACATAACCCGTCATTTCGAACTCAGTTGGTCTCGCCAACCCAAAATCAAGGATACGAAGCTCGCAGTCCTCGTTTACAGCAATATTGCACGGCTTCAGATCTCGATGAATAACGCCAGCACTGTGTATATACTTGAGGCCACGCAGTATTTGATATACCAGGAACTGCACATGATCATCGGATAGGTTCTGCATTTTTATAATGTTGTTTAGGTCCGCACCCATCAGGTGAGTTACCAGGTAAACGTTCTGAAATTCTTCTAAAGTTGCTTCCGGTGGATGCGGATGAAAAATGTCTAATAGACCGATAACATTTTCATGATCCATATGCTTCAATAGCATTAGTTCCCGATATGTCCGCTTGGCGTGCACCGTTGATTGGAAGGGACGAGATAACTTCTTAATGGCGACATCAGTGTTGGTACCACGAATTCTAGCCTTGCATACTTGTCCATATGCACCAGAGCCCACTGGATGCAGCTGCTGATATATTTCTGGAACTTCCCATTCTGTACGATTTATATCCAACTTGTAGAACTTTTGCGTTTTGCGGGCACTCATTTTAACAATGTCTATAGTGAAATATAAAGCTGATTAGGCTTATCTCGACTTTTCAGTCAGCAGTAGAGAAAAATCACCTCGAATAGCGGGGTTCCAAACGCTGAATGCATATTGTGAGCAATTCATGGGCGGCGATACACTCATCCCCACAAATTCAAAGTCTGGGCCGAATCTGTAATGCGCTACATCTGCTTGTTGTCTGATGTGCATATATGTAAATCAATTTAATAAAAGTTTATATACCATGTTATCGAAGTTATAGCAATAGGGATGTATTAAAAGCTGTATGTACTTCATATAAAGGTCAGAAACCGGTAGCTAAAAACAAAATAGCGGCCAGCATAGTCGTTGTTGTCTCGTTCGTTTTTAATTATACAAAACAATAGATACATCGATACATCGATAAGTTTGTTCTAGCGTTGCCAAAGCACATCAAATGAAAACAGCTGATCTCAGTGTAAACATGCCTAAAAATTACATGAAACGGCTCTCAGCTCGCTCTTTGGCTCAACTATAATATTTCTTAAATGGGTTTATCCATGGTTCAAATATGCTCTATGTATGTCTATGAATAATTAAATTCAAAACAGGAACTACGATACCAAAAGTGCCCAGGCGTATTACCCTATACTTATCAAAAGCAAAAATCTAATCTCGGCGTAAAAGCTGAATTATTAGGACTGTGCTTTTTGCCTCAAGAACAGTTGGTTATAGAAGCCGCACTGGAACGGAGCGTGCCAATTCTCTCTTCAAGTTATAACTAGAAAAATCTGTTAAGTAAGTAAAAAATTCAATATATTTATACATGTTTATATTTGATATACACCAATGATGGAATACAATTATCGTTAGAGAAAGCGAAACAGCTAAAAATCGGATGCCATTCAAAACACTTCTCAGGGGGCAAACATTGACCTTTGGAGCTGCTTTTAATCTGAAATTCATGCACAGTGCTTTCCGAAGATAGCAAAGTTTACAAATCTATAAACTTAAGCAAATTTTTTTAGTAACTTTCAATCTTCGATAAGATTAAGCAAGTTCAAAGTGTATTATCATAAAGAAAAAAAATAAATACCAAATTTAAGAAAACTTATTCAAGGGGTTGCTGCAATAAGGAAACCACCCTTACCAAAATAAATAATAATTGCATGTTTGTTTTTGCAGTTCATAATGACTTCAACATTGTTGCCCGGCAATATCGTTTATGGAGGCCCAATACCCGTCCGGGAGGCCCAGGAGTATCGCTCCTTGGGGCAGCTAATAATGGATAGATATAAAAGTTTTGGCAATCAAACGGTTATGATTGATGCCGTCAGTGGCACTGAATATACCGGAAAGTTTTTGTATGATTCGATTGTAAGATTGGCACAAATCCTCCAGAAACTCGGCATACAGCACAACGATGTCGTTGGGTTGTCCAGTGAGAATAGCGTGAATTTTGCTATAGCCATGTTTGCTGGATTCGCTGTGGGTGCGACTGTGGCGCCATTAAATGTCACCTACTCAGAACGTGAGGTTGACCATGCCATAAATTTGTCGCATCCAAAGATCATATTCGCCTCAAAGATCACCGTTGACCGCATTGCAAAGGTGGCCAAACAGAATAAGTTTGTTAAAGCAATTATTGCGCTGAGCGGCTCTTCCACAAATCATCCAAAGGTATATTCCTTCACGGATTTGATGAACAGTGACAAGTATAAGACGAAACCAGATTTCACTTCACCTGCGGCAAACAAAACCGAGGATGTGGCATTAATTGTATGCTCCTCGGGCACCACTGGTCTGCCCAAAGGCGTTCAGCTGACACAGTTTAATCTATTGGCCACGATCGACTCTCAAATGTAAGTATATTGATTTTAAAACTGATCTTTATTAAAAAAAAAAATAATAAAATTGATTTTATCGCCTTTGTTTACAGTCAGCCAACTATGATACCATTCAACGAGATCACTCTGCTTACTGTCATTCCGTGGTTCCATGCTTTTGGCTGCCTGACGCTGATCACAACGGCTACGATGGGCACTCGACTAGTATATTTGCCCAAATTTGAAGAAAATCTGTTCCTCTCCGCCATTGAGGTAGCTATTCGACTGTCAATATTGATAAGAACAATCTATAATCCAGCTTAAATCCTTGCAGAAATACCGTGTCATGATGGCGTTTATGGTGCCACCACTAATGGTCTTCTTAGCCAAGCATCCGATTGTAGATAAGTACGATCTGTCATCGCTAATGGTTTTACTTTGTGGCGCTGCCCCGCTCAGTCGTGAAACCGAAGATCAGATCAAGGAGCGAATTGGCGTGCCATTCATTCGTCAGGGCTACGGACTGAGCGAGTCGACGCTGAGTGTCCTAGTACAGACCGATGACTATTGCAAGCCTGGTAGCGTTGGCGTACTCAAGTGTGGCATCTACGCCAAGGTCGTTGATCCGGACACTGGTAAAATAATGGGACCGAACGAACGTGGCGAGCTTTGCTTCAAGGGCGATGGCATTATGAAGGGCTATATTGGTGACAGCAAGTCCACACAGAGTGCCATTCGGGACGGCTGGTTACACACTGGTGATATTGGCTATTTTGACGATTCACTCGAGTTCTTTATTGTGGATCGCATTAAGGAGCTTATCAAATATAAGGGCTTCCAGGTGCCGCCGGCAGAAATAGAAGCGCTGCTGCTAACCAATGAGAAAATCAAAGATGCTGCTGTCATTGGCAAACCGGATGAAGAGGCTGGCGAACTCCCAATGGCATTTGTGGTCAAACAGACGAATAGCCAACTCACCGAGGAAGATGTGATCAATTTTGTGAACGAACGTGCCTCGCCTGCAAAACGTCTGCGGGGCGGCGTAGTTTTTGTGGACGAGATACCCAAAAATCCCAGTGGGAAAATATTGCGTCGCATCCTGCGCGATATGCTTAAGAAACAAAAATCCAAATTGTAAGCCTCACGACGCATAGAATCACTCTCAGCAAACTAATCGTATGTGAGGCTAGGAATATGTACGATTTGCTATTATAATTCCAAACTTTATCTGTATCGCTTCATTTCGTTATATAAAAATACAGTTCTTGGATTGTGGTTTTAAATATATATATATATATATGTGTATATATTTATATTTATACTTTTCTGTATTTGGCTTTTTTGAAGTTTTGTATTTGATTTAAATCTAAATAAAAACTATTTCCATACATACACACATATTCGGAATCGTGTTACTACCTACTAATTAGTCGGTAATATACACACATTTATCGGTTTGCTGTACTGTGATCATGCAATTTATGAAATTCAACTATATAGCCACACGTTAATTACATTTGAAGTCTGAGCTATCAATAACAAGTTACTTATATAAACAACTACATACATATATACTATATCATCATTATATATGTAAGTACGATCAACTCTTATAACAAACATTCGTATAATTTTTTTTTGTTTTTTTTTTTCAAGTGGTTTCATATTGTTTCGGATTCCCTCTCTCCAATGGCTCAGCTTGTGTAAATGTATTATCCATTATATATGTATATGTATGTATATATATTTTTTTTAAATATTTAACTACATGTTCTGACTTGTAAATAGTTTTCCTAATTAACAATCTAGGAAAGAGTGTTCGGTTTTTTTTTTGTTTTTTGTTTTTTAATATTATTATTCCCCCATCTCTTTCACTAGTTTTTGAGGCGCAGATTTATATTGTGTTTGGTATATAGAGCTATATATGCTTGCTGAGTTCTCTAGCATTAGTTCACTAATTATTGTGTATGAAACCTTAAATGTAAGAGAAATGCCTTGGTTTCTATAACGGAAATATCGTAAGTATCGTATTTTGTGTAAAATGTCTAACGCTTCTCTGTGCCACGTTCCTAACGTAGTTGTTTGTTGCAATGTTAATCGACTTGGTGCTTGACTTACAATTAAACCTAGTTTGAGAAATTAGTTAAATAAATTCAGTTGTTCATTTCGTTAGTTAGTACTTAAATATATCAAAGAAATGGTGCTGTTTAAAATTAGCTATAACTGCTTCTCTTGTTTTTTTTTCCCATTTTGGCACAGTTTTGACATCGAATTCATGAGACTGATTGTCAGTTGTGAGCAAAATTATATTATATTTAAGTCAGTGTGTGTGTGTGTGTGTGTGTGTGTGTGTGGGTATGTGGTAGTGTTTGGATTTGAGTGTATGTAAATATTGCTAAAATTGATTTTTGGTTTTTGGTCCCTGGGACCAAGTCAAGAGACTTAAAAAAGTATTGTTTGGAAAAAAATATTTGTTTAAAACTTGAGTTCCTATCTGACCGGAACCTCTGATCATGCCAAAGTCTTCATCATCATACAATGATTTCCATACGATTTGCCTTGCGCGTGACTTTTGGCGGCCCTTGTGCCAAATCGGATAAGCCGCCGTATTTAAATGAGAAGATAACCGTTTGTTGACCGAAATTCGCTTCAAATCTAAAAAAAAAAAAAAAAAAAAAAAAATAAAATAGTACTCAAAAAATTAAATTAATTGTATAGAAAATACGTTAGGTGCTTACTCTGTGCTTATGTGTATCTCTGGGGGCTTGCCCGTCGCATTTTGTATGACCAGAAACATTTTGGTAACTATTTCAATAACATGGCCTGTTTGGAACACAAAATCACCTTTCTTCCGGCCAAACTCAGACTGTACAATAAAATAATTTCATTAGGCAAATTAAAAAAAACAAATCTTATTTAAATCTACCGCTTTCACGTGAAACACAGCAATATCATCCAGATAAGGGCTTAGAGACATGCGATAAATCTCCGAGGCAGGGACTCTGTACTTGATTTGCAGAGTTCGCTGGTCGAGTAAGAGCAGCGATGACGTGGACAGCACCAGCAATATCGGTACGAACTGAAAACGGATATGGAGTTATTTATATCTGTATAAATAAATAATCGAAAAAGCCTCTAATCTACTGAGGCGTTTCAGATATCGTACTTACTCATATTCATTGAGTTAGAAATTAGGAACATACCTTGCCACTGGAGCGCGCTATCTTGTTTATGATATCGGCAAAAACCACATACTGATCATTGGTTTCAGCACATATCTTTTTCCATTGTTGATTATGCCGCAGTCGCACATAATCGCCCACAAAAGGATGACCCACACTGAAAGCCATATAAATATTTCATGAGTAAAGCAGTTCAACCTTTCGGGAGCACCATTACAAACCTGCGCGCATAGGAAGCCTTGCGATCCTTAAAAATAATGCTGGCTGTAACCTTTTCTCTCATGCGATTGCGTGCCGTTTGATCGAACGAATTGCGATATATATAACATTTCCAGCGATGATAGATGGCTCGCAACAGACGGGAAGCATCTGACAGGAAGCCAGGAGCCGTTGGCCACTCTGACGAGAGCGGACTCAATGTGTTGGGTGGCAGGCGCAACGGAATGGTGAGCAAATATTGTCGAATCTTCCACTGGTGATAGTTTCGCGCAATCACATCGACGGCCCATTTTACTTGGCGCTTGTACTTCAAAGTACGATACTCCTCACGGGCCTGCCATAATCAATTAAAGTGGCTATTAGTATTCATTTACCATAAGTATTTTACTAGGTTATTGGGTATGAGAGTGGGAATAAGAACATGCAATGCTTACAACGCGATATAAACTCCACAAATGCCTACGGCCCGTGAAGGGAATGCCAAAACGGCACTCCTATGTAAATATAAAAATAACAACAAATTTTATATAAATATGTACAAATATTATAATATTTAGGCATGCAAATGAAGCAGTGCAGCCAGTACTTACACGCCACGTGCGCCAGGCACTCGAGATGACCATTTGGCTGTGTCGCATGCGCCTATAATTCTTTCTGGCATGATACATACGAAACATCTTCTGTATGAGGACGGCCAGCTCGGAGATCCGTAGTCGACGAAACTGTTCCAGCTCGTAGACAGTGCGCGGACTGCGCACGAACACATTTTTGGTGCCGAGAGTAAACTCGGCCGAGGGCAACGGCAAATTTCTTATGATCAGAGCAATGCCCTCTACTTGGCTGCCACCGTGATAGTGCGGCCAAGTCAAACTATTGAGCAGCTTATAGCGTTGAAAGAATTTGACATGCGGCAAATGGAAGCAGTGTCCAGTGCGGCACAAATGCACGAGCGGCATAAGCGACATGTAGCGCACTTGATGCTGCACTAAGGCCAAGTCAAAGTGATGGGACTGCTTGCACTCGTTGGGCTTAATGCAGAACACATAATGGGCACGACGATGCTTCACAATGGCCAACAGCGTTTGCAGCTGCGTGCGTATATTGGTGCTAAGCGTGGTTGGCTTTTTGCTAGTCTGTCGACGGGGATTGCCCTCCGGGAATAGACTTTGCACTAACGGTAGTTGGCTCTGGTAAAAGCCAGCGCTTATATACTTTGGCAGCATATCTGAATTTTTCTCCAAAAAACGATGAATGGAATAGTTAACAACGTTAGCAAAGTGGCGAATTCTGTAAATAGACCAGATAAATATATTTTAATTAGGCTCTATTATTTCATAAACAGACTCACTGAAAGCACATGGAATTGCTGCCACTTGTCATAAAATTGGGATGCCCTGCGCAACATTGCTGTATACGCAGCAGCAACGCCTCGTTGTTATTTAGATGTGATTCGTTAATTAAACTAAGGATGCCATAGCTGGGCTTATCAATTAGCTCACATATGGACTCGTTGTCAAAATAATCGATGCGTGACCATTCCAAACCCTCACGTATATACAGTTCCTGTTCGAAGCGCAACACATTAAAAACAAAGTTCTATTCAAAAATAGAATAAAATAAGTTAATCAAATTATCTCAATTTGGTGACTATAAAGCTTGCCTGATGTATTTTCTCGGCACTGTAGTTAATAGCAAATTGCTCAAAAGAGTTATGATCCAAAACTTCAAAACCATAAAAATCTAACAAAGCGAGATTCTTTTCTCGCTGCGTAGACTTCAATGTTTCATTAATTTTATTCACCAGCCAAGTAAATAGACGACTGTAGAGCGTACGACAAAGTGTATTGCGATTGCTGGCTGCCTGTCTGGCGTCCATTTCACAACCCACATCCTCCTGTGTACTGCTCGTACTGTTCGCTCTCGTCAGACAATTGATTAATATTTGAGCTTCCAAATTGAGCAGCTGCGCCGTCTCTTGAACCTCTGCAAATCCCAACATTATTATAAAATATTAAATATTTTGTTTATATCATCGAGATGATTGAACATACCGTAGACATTTGAAACCTGACAGCCTTCGGTGCCATCAATATTCGTTACTGGCACAAAAATAAAATTGCCCAACTTTAAGACAACCGCAATAACTCGAAAAATTGAGTTAATCTCATCACAGCCCAAGCCGAGAACATCCAGAGAGCGCTGTAAGATACAAGTTCCTTGTTATTAGCATTCTCTTATAGATATTAGACTTTTCACAAACCTTAGTGTAATGAAAATTGGCACGATCCTCTTCCATGGCACTCGTATTTCGGAGCAACTCATATTTCTCCACATTACGAAAAAGCTTTAGAGATTCTGTAGGATAAATAATTGTTAATTAAATCACAAATCAAGAAGTTTCCCTACAGGAAAACATACTCAGCAGTTGAAGATCAGCACCTAATAGCAATTGATAAAAAATGTGAAAATTGCGCTCGCCAACGATAGTATCCGTGATGCGTGTCTGTGTAAAGAAAGTAAATTAAATATTAATAAAGTCTATCGAATAAATAGTTATTTATATGTCAAGCAATTCAAACCTTTTCCAGCATATCTTTTTTGAGTTAGACATAGAATCAATAATATAACAAATATATACAAATATGGTTAATGCAACAAGTCTAATTATTATTACTTACAGTGAGTTATGTGAACGCCCATAGGATCACCCTTGAAGTCGATTTCAATATCAAACAGTTTACCCTAAAAGCATGAAATAATAGATATCAGCATCAACATCGACATTAAATGGAATAACAGCAACTCACATATCTACTTGAGTTGTTATTCTTTAGTGTGCAGGCATTGCCCATGGCCTCAAGGAAGACATCCGCGCAGGTGACGCACTCACGCAGCCGCTGATTAGGTGACTTGTGGCGTCGATGCAGCGAGGAGCTAGCAGACGGCGTGGGCGAGACAGTGTTACTCCCGAGAACTTTACTTAGCTTATGAGCATCGTACAGCGATATACGTTGCGTGGATCCCATGGACATCTGTCTCTCCGATTGGCTTTCGGTTGAATGCTGTCGTACCAGATTCGAGCAGCTACCGCGCTGTGGTTGCTGCAGTTGGTGGGCGGTGGAAAGACGATTATTGCTGCCCCGCAGCAATATAAGAGCGGCTTCACGTTCATTTTTCTCTAAGCTCTGAGCGCGGGTGCATTTGCTGTGGCCACACTGACGACAGCCGCCATGCAAATATTTAGGTGATGTGCTGGATGAGCCCGTTTTCGAGGGCGTTGCGGCCGTGGGCCCATAAGTGGCAGTGCAGGTGCTTACTTGAGTTTGTTGGTGCTTAAAGCATGATTTCGTTGGATGCAAATGAGCATGTGCAGCGGCTGATTCCAGCAGCGTGCTTATATTTTCTGAGCTCTTGTGATGCGAAAAATCAAAATCAACGATTTTTTCACGCATATTACGTCTGACTTGACGTTCGATACTCTCCGCACGCGTACGTGAGCGCTGTGACGGGCCTGGCCCCGGTGAAGGTGACTGGCGTCGGGAGTTGCACGCGCTGCCTTGACTTGGAGCTGAAGCTGCACTGTTTTTACAAATGATAAAATTGGCGGTACCAGAGCAACTGCTGGAAGCACGCCGATGAGCATGCATAACCATTCCGCTCGTTGAGCTAGTCGAGGACTGTTTACGAAGTGCATTAGGAGTTCCAGAGCACACCCCTCGGTCCTGTATGTGTGTTAGAAAATTGACAATCATTTTAAACGTCTCCGTTTTGCCAGCGCCTCCTTCACCAGTGAGCAACACGCACTGGTCCTCGCTCTGATCCTTAAGAGACTGATAAGCCAAATTGGTGAGCCCATATCTGTCAAATTTGATCTTTATTATAAAGGAGAACGTAATAAGCCATAAAGCACTCACATGTGTGGTGGCAACTGAAAAATGCCTTTATTGCCATAGTTGCGAATATTATCCAAAGAATGCTCAGATATGTGATGATATGGATTTAAAGCCACAACAGAAGTTCCAATGTAGGTCTGGAAAGCAAGCAACAATTTAGCATAATTTAGACCCTCGAAATCGAATAGATTAATTACATATATATGATCGCGCTTGTAACGCTGATGTATGTTGCTTATGAAGCTGTCCTCGGACAGGTTTTCTAGCAGAACTGAGTCCCAGGTACCAATCTCCTGTTCCATTTTGCCCTGTCCAAGCCCTGACAACGTGTACGGCAGTAACAACAACAACGGCAACAACAGCAAATGCAAATGCAAAACAAAACATTTGAATTTATCAACTGCAACTGCAAAGGCAAAGACAAGAGAGAAACATTACAAATGTAACATATTTGCATAAATTATCATAAGCGCTGTGTATGCACTTGGTCAAATTCGTGTTTTGATTTTCTGATTGAATTATTGATTTTAATTTTCAGCCTCAGCAAAGGCAGCAACAGTGTGTAATACATTCACATAGGCTTTTTGAATTGATTATGTTCTGTTATTATCAATGTAAGAATTTCTTATGTTGCATGGCTATATTTCACCACATTGAAAAGCTTTTACTCCGAGTACTCTATCACTTCATTAACTTTGTTTACCTTTTCACACAATATTTGGGCATTTTGTAGCGAAATGCAATGCACAACGGTACTTACGTACCTACGTAATAGCAAAGTCAGACACGTAATGCAAAACACCACGTAACGGTAAAGAAATGTGAGAACTGTGAACGCAATTAGAGTTAACATAACATATGATATACGCTTAACATTGGCACTAAACGTTACAGTTGCAATCACAACTAGCTCGCAACAATAGGCGACAAATATACTATTAAATTTAAAAATAAAATAAATTAAATTTCAAATACAAAATATTTCTATATTTTAGTTGTAAAATAAATGAAACATCTCGAATGTGTTGTTTCATTACTCTTGCCGCCTTTCGAAGCTGCTGATAAAGTGGGACCAGAGAATGATAAACAAAATATGTATTACGACTATTTGTACAGTATTTCGATATTATTGAGAGTAATTTCGTCGTAGTTGTTGCTGCTCAACTTTTGTTGTCCCATTCCAAGTAAAGCAGCAGTAATAATATCTTCCATAACATATATACTAAAGATGACTACAGATGAGCGCAATTTTAGGTCTAGTTATTATGAGAAAGTGGGCTGCTTTAGTGTCGAAGAGAAAAAGTCACTTGATAAACTGCTACAGGATGATATTCGCAATCCCGCAAAGCTGAAGCACTTCGTATATACTTTTACGGTTCCAGCACAGCAGCGGAGTCTGCTATGGAGTCTGATAATGGGAATAATGCCACTTCATAAAAGCAACACCAAATATGTTAGGGAGCAACGCAGCCAAGTGTATGAGGATCTACTACGCGCGGTGACTGTAATGCGTTCCGTAGATGTGGATAAATCCAGACATTTGGTTTTATACAAAATGTGGCTACTGGAGAACAATCGCCTGCTGCATAGCAATGTGCGAGCTGAGAGTCAGCCAGATGACAATCATTTTATTGAAATTGCACGCACACTACTTGAAATATTCGACGATGAAATGGAAACATACTGGATTGCCAAGGGGTTTTACCAGTACACACGTGAACTGAAGAAGGAATGCGGCAAACTTAAAGAATTGACACAAGTCCTGCTTAAGCGCGAAGACAATGCATTATTTTAGTATGTCCCTTGTAAAAAATGACTATTGATATTAATTACTTCATTTTGATTGCAGTGGTTTAGAAAAGCTGGCACTCTTTGACGTCAATTCAAAGCTGTTAGACGATTGGTACACAACTTGCTTTGCCGGCGTAATATGTGAAACGGTCTTAGTCAAAATATGGGATAAGGTGTGTGGAGGCGCCAAGAAGATAGTCGTATTCCTTTTTATAGAGCTTATGAAAGACATAAAATCTTTTATATGTGATCTGAGATCTCAAGAGGAACTAAAAGTGTTGGTCGAAATGGTATGCTTCCGACTTCTAATAATTTATATGCTTATGATCTTTATTATTTTAGATAAAAGATCAGGATGGGGTCATTGTAAACAAAGCCATTAAATCTTGGCATAGTAATAATAGTGAAGTTGAATACGTTCATTGAGTAAGACTGCAAAATGTATGTACTAGTAGTATTATGTATTGGCGCAACAAGTAAAAAAGTGTATGAACTAAATGTATTTAAAGACCACGTCCTTCTTATCGGCCACCGTCTGAAACTCAAGGGTGACAGGGCATTGCATCCAATAAGACAGAAGCTCCTCCGTATAACCAATGAGGAAGTACATCTTGCGTGCGCTGATAGCCTGACGTATTATAGCAGCAATGCGTATCATATTGTGTTGTCGCTTAATAATAATTTCCGAGCATACAAGAGCATGCCATGTTCCAGTTATAAATTTTCGAATGAACACATCCTCAATGGCTGTTTGTGATGGACGCAAGGCATCCTTCAAAGTAGCTAAACAAAAATATTTTTTACATTATATACAATTGAATAAACGTAAATACATTAATTTACATGTGTTCCATGAATTCCATGACTTGCGGTGTCCAATAAAATGCGGCGGATTAGCCATTTCGTAGGTGAGCGGCCTGTCCCGTTTCACGGTTATGCGATAACGTCCAGACTGCACGCGACAGCAAACCGCGCTAGTATGCAGGGCTGAATTATTGCCAAGACTGAGATGGGCTTCAGCCATTGGCAGCACCTGCGTTGTTACCTACGAAAATTAAACAAATAAATAATACGTTTTATTACTAATAGTTTTATTTACCTTTTTTAAAAAATTCATAACTTTTTACGGCAAACTCGAACTGTGAGTACCAGCTGAGCAGACTCAGCTGTTATGCGTGACGTAATAGAAGCTAACTAGTGATGGAACCTAAGCAAAATACTAAAATATATTGCAATGGGGTAAACAATTTTGTACGAATATCTTTCTTCTTGCTATTCTAATCTCACTTGCGGTATTAGAGCACAACATCGAGATTCAATAAATTCCAAGCCAATATACAACCATAACAACAATAAAATAGAATCATAATAAATGCCAATATCCTTAAACATGCTTCTACTGCTATCGATTACTTGTTGCTTTTCAAAATCGATAACACATAACAGCATCATCCAAACAAAGGCAGTTGCTTCTGCGCTGTAGGTTGGGTTTCCGATGCCACAATGATATACTAAACTCAGCGCAGATCGCCTACCTGCTAGCTATTAGTGCTTCATAAAGAGGCAGGTAATTTATAGTTCCTGGAATATACTTAGGTACAACGCGTAGAATAGAGTGTTAAAGTTAAGCCCGGCAAAATCAATAAAGCGGAAACCATTTGTAAACATGACGCTGAACGAGAGCGACGCTCACAAACAACTGGAGCTGACACGCAACTTCTTGGAGCTTTCTAGAAATACGGACACCTGTTCAGCATTGCGCAGCTCCGATTGCATCCAACTGTTGGTAAAAATTCTGCATGACAATGATGACGGTGCCGGTGCGGGCGGAGCAGCACGAAGAAATGCCAGCCAAGCCCTACATAATATTGTTCAAGGAAATCAACGGGAGATGAAGGTTCTGCGCCTTCTAGATCAAATACACGACTATAGTTGCAATTTTCTACGATCTCAATTGCAAAGTGGTGGTGAATCGATTGCCGATGATGAAGAGCGTCATCCATTGGCAGCTATGAAGCTGCTGATGAAGGCTAGCTTCGATGAGGAACATCGCCAGACCATGTGCGAGTTGGGTGCCCTAAAAGCAATACCAAATCTGGTTCATCTAGACCATGCCGTTCATGGACCGGCAGCAGGTCGTGAGCAATGCAATTTGCTTAGACGCTATGCACTTATGACGCTGACCAATCTCACTTGCGGGGAAGAGAATAATAAGTCACTGCTCTGTGGACAGAAGCAGTTCATGGAGGCGTTGGTTGCCCAGCTGGATTCAAACACCCCGGATGTCGATGATCTGTTGCAAGCCACTGCTAGCGTTTTGCGCAATCTATCTTGGCGCGCGGACAAGCACCTGAAGACCATATTTAACGAGCTTGGCACAGTGACGGCTCTTGCAATGGCCGCTATGCACAACAAAAGCGAGAACACATTGAAGGCCATTCTGTCAGCTCTTTGGAATTTGTCGGCACACTGCAGCACCAACAAAGCGGAGTTTTGTGCCGTCGATGGGGCATTGGCATTTCTGGTACAAATGCTCAGCTACGAAGGTCCAAGCAAGACGCTTAAGATAGTAGAGAACGCTGGCGGCATCTTGCGGAATGTATCCAGTCACATAGCTGTTTGTGAATCATATCGTCAGATCTTAAGGGAGCACAACTGCTTGGCAATTCTGCTGCAGCAACTCAAGATGGATAACCAGACGGTAGTTAGCAACTCCTGTGGCACGCTCTGGAACTTGTCTGCACGTTGTCCTCAGGATCAACAGTTTCTTATCGATCACAATGCCATTCCGCTACTACGTTCGCTGACAAGCTCCAAAAATTCTATGATAGCTGAGGGCAGTGCCTCAGCGCTTAAGAACTTGGTAAATTATCGCAACGCTCTTGAGCTGTCAACCAACAATGAGTTACCTTCAAAGGAGATACCCAACGGACATGCAGGCACATTGCCGCGTCGTTACAGCTCTTTGCGACTAAGTAGTAATCCCACAGGGTCACTGAAGAAGGTACGCAACGGGACAGCAAACAGCAGCAGCAATGACAGCAGCACATTACCTCGCAAATGTGAAAGCCGGGAGTCAATATATTCCGGCAAATCTGATTCCGACTCAACGAAATTCTCAACTAAGTCGGACAGCGCCTTTGAACAACGAAAGCTCAGTACTAGTACTGCGCTGAGCCATTATAGGGCACCCACGGAGGAGCAGCCCATTGACTATTCGATGAAGTACAGCTATAACGAGCACAAGCCGGCTAAGACCAGTTTTGACAATTCCATCGACTTAGATCAGCTCACTGATTTCAGTGCGCGCTATAAAGAAAGACGGTCCGCCCAAGTTGCGAATTCACAGCCAGCAACATGTGAGGAACGGCAGCCAGAGAGTAGTGAAATATTGCTCATATTGGATGAAAGTGCGAGCCCCGCTCCTCCAACTCTGGCTAAATCCGCTTCGGCTTGTGATTTGAGCAGCGATCACGTGGAACGCCCGGAAACACTCAACCTTCGCAGTAATGCTTTGGAGAATCTAGCAGTCGATAAATCCGATGGCTGTTTGCACACGCCCGAACCGGAGCCCGGTGAGCGGCCGATCAACTACTGTGATGAGGGAACACCCGGCTGCTTCAGTCGCTTCGACTCACTCACCAGTCTAACGGACGTACATGTCAAGCACGAGAAGGAGCCAGTTGCTCCCAAAGCAACAAACAGCCAACAATCAGTTGTCGAGGCGCCAGAACAAGTCAGTGTCAATAACAACAGCAATAATAATGGTGCAGCTTGCCAGGCTATTGATTCCGCCCTGGAGACGCCGCTTATGTTCTCTAGACGTAGTTCCATGGATTCGTTGGTGAATGATGAGACCATTGGTTGTGAGGATAATGGTTCTGTAATTAGTGAATACAGTCGCATGCAAAGCGGCGTGATCTCACCCTCAGAGCTGCCAGACTCACCCACGCAGAGCATGCCCCAGTCGCCTCATCGCAAAGTCAAGCCATCTCTTCCGCCTCCAAACGATAACTGCACAACCAACGGACATGACCTGAATGGCAACGATGCGCCGCGTAGCTACTGCACGGAGGATACTCCAGCTCTGCTGTCCAAAGCGGGCAGCAATAGCAATCTGTCAGTGCTTTCAATAGCCTCCACTGCCAATGACCATAATGGCAATGGACAAATTACACGTCCTATGCCGCAAGTCCAAGATATGGCAATGAACGTCCCCGAGGATGCCATTTCCAAGATGCGCTGCGGGGGCAGCGCTCTTCCTAGTTATTTACCAGTGACGGATGAGATGAATAAGTACTACGTAGAAGACAGCCCCTGTAATTTCTCCGTTATCTCTGGTCTCTCCAGCCTAACTGTCGGCTCTGCGCAGGTGGGACCAACCCGTGCACTAAAACCACCACTTCTACCTAGGAATGCAGAGTCCGCTCCAAAGTTGCCACCACGACGAAGTGCTGTTCCTGTAGAAGCTGAGCCGCGTCAGCTGCCGAAACGCAGCGATTCGCTCAGTTCACTGTCAATGGACTCTGACGACGACTCAAATCTGTTAAGCCAAGTAAGTGCTTGCTGGATACCTATGTCATCTGTGTCATCTAATCCTTGTTCATACTTTTCAGGCCATTGCCGCTGGTAGTTGCAGACTGCCACCAAGCGGTGCCAGCACCAGCTCGAGCCACACAAACACGCTGCCCAAGCCAAGCAACAACCACAGACGACAGACAATTTCGAATGCTAAAACTGACTACAGCTCCGATGATTCACTGGACGATGGCCAATCCACTTCATTGTTTGAGCAGTGTATATTGAGTGGCATGCATAAATCGAATGATAACTTGGAAAGTGATCGCAACGAGCCCTCCAACGAGCGCTTCGTTAGCAATCAGGTGCGTCAGATCGAGTCTATGTTGGCCACGACTGTTAGATCTACGCCTCCGCGCTCAGCATCCAGTAGCCGACAGCGTCAACATCACTGGGTCTAGCTAATTAAGAATCTATAGTTTTCAGTTTGCAGTTGGTTGGTCGTTTGTTTTTAAATATTTTCTAATGTAATATACACACTGCAATAATATTCATACGTTCTCAATTCTTCTAGAGTTCTGATTAAAAATTTGCACTTAAATTTAACAATTGCCCATTTCTGTTGCCCGTTAAGTCGTTGTTTGTTTTACCTATTCCACAATTTCAAAACGAACATCTAACAAAACCCGGGTCATCTAGATAACTTATGAATAAATATCGTAATGGGTACATTCAATATAAATTAACTTTAAAAGGACTTGAAACTTGTCAGCTGCTGCTTGTAACATGATGTTTTGGTCGACTATGCCTAAGTTTGGTTGTTTTTTGTCGCAGCTGGAGCTGCCGATTTTAATAAAAACGTTTTCGCGCATTGCGATCCTTGAAATACGAAATGGCAAATATTGCCACACCAGCCGTCACCAGGACTACGAACAGCAGTATGAAAAATATTTTTGCATTTGACATTCCTGGTTTCGGATCATCTTTGTGTTCCCGCGGCGGTTCAAATGTTTTGGCATTTGGAATAATGTTGGTACGGCGCATAATCTCTTCGTGCTGGATAAAAGCAAAAAAGTATTAAAAAGTATTATAGTATTGCTACACTAACTTAGAAGCTATCAATATATATTAAACTTACAGTGATAGTTGTGTCTATATCGAAGAACTTGAAGCTATGAATGTCATGGTTATCGGACAAATCTCCCGTTGTTGCCGACAAGCCAAAGTAGTAGCCAGTGGGAAGCTCCACATTGTTAACTACAAAACAGTTTTTCCATTCGTTTCGATTTTCGAGATCCGTCGAAACGGACAGCACGTCGTTCTCATATCGTATGCTAATAAACGTTTCGTAATCCACATTACGGAATCGCACTTCACAGCCAGCCAGCTGTGTGTGTGTACCATCTCTGTCATGATCGTAGCTCCAGGTGCCGTTATTAACCATCGCACTCAAATATGGATGTTGATGCTAAATTTAACAAAATAACAGCTACTGCAAGTCAGCAAATGAAAATGAACAAAGTACGTACATTATGTGGCCCATTGTGATTGCTGTATGTATCCAGTATGATTGCCAGTCCAGAGAAATAGTCTTTGCTTCCAAATACAGGACCTGTTTGCATGCGATCTTTCGTATACCAAATGGCAAATCCGTCACCGAATAGCTCATTGCCCTTGCCGTGTACTTTGAACCCAACGTGAACTTCCCAATTGCGTCCCATAACGGGCTGTGGGATACAACAATAGTATCAATAATCATTAAAAATACTAAATTACACGCCCGCATACCGAGTAGTTCCATAGCGCACCGCTTTTTGATTGCAAATCCGGCGTCAGTCTTATATAGTTACTGGTAACCATTGTGCTTCCCAAAAAATCCCAGTGTGGTAGTATAACGCCAACGCCTGGGGTTGATAACGAAACAAGCAATGTTAATACGATACATTACGCATATTAGATATAGGCATCACAGAAGCTTATCTTACCTTGAAATGGACGCACTAGGCTGTGTTCCCGCTTCATGTACTCATTGCTTTGAGAGCTTTTTACTAATTCCAAGGCCACAAGAGCGCCGAAAAACGCCAAAATCCAATTTGTGTTTATCTGTGTCATTTTAACATGCGTTGGCGTCTACTCTACAAAAATTTGGTTTAAAGATAGGCGAATCTTTCTCGCTTTTTCGGTTTTAATGCCGGTTTGATGAGTGGTTGTTTTTTGTTAGCTAGCTGCTGGCACTATCGATAATCACAGCTGTCCCATAAGCTGACAATAGTTACTAGAAACATCGATAAATACTAATAAAAACAAACCTTTTTCGAAACCTCAGCGAAAATACATTTTCGATATACTGCAGCCGATATAATTTTTGTGTTTTGCAGCACTGAGAGCTGTAGCTGTTAGTTTTGGCACTGCCAGCGAAAAATTTAAATAGTAACCGCCAAAAATTTGCGTAGCGAATGGCAAGTGAATAATGAACATGCAAATTGCTTGTGTTGACAAGTAAATAAATTATAAACTCTTCCCTATCGAAAATGGTCAAACGGAAACATAATTTGTCAGACATCTGCAACCTCGTGACAACCCGTTTCAATTATATTTTTTGACTATAACACCGACATGCTGTCAGTTTGTCCAAATTATGTTATGCGTGGTTGTTGGTGTTGTTGTTATTACAGCGGCTTATTGCGTACGCATATTCACGCCTTCAATTGGCTCTAAGTGAAAAACTGAAAACCAGTTCCAGCAACAAGAGTTTTCTTCCTTGCAAGCTACTGGAGCGTGCGTTAAGCTCACACACACAGAACTGCGGTGCGCTGCGTTGAGCATTGCCAAGGTCGATGTCGTGAGAATAAACGCTAAACGTTTTACACACATGCATTTGCGTATATGTGAGTGTGTGCATGTATAATGCAAATTGAATTGGACCGGAAATTTGGAATGCTAAACATGTGAACTTGCGCTCGCTTTTCATAATTCTCTCTGCATATTTGGGCACAATTAGCTAATTGGCGATTGCAGCTGCAATAACTGTAATATATAAATCGTTAACCGTCTAATGCAGCGACGCTTCCTCGACACGTTGCTAATTGGAATATAACGTATCTAATTATATCAGAAACTAAGTGCGACATCGTCATACACTTAATAATTAACTCCGGAAGGTCAATGAATCACATCGACAACTTTGGGAGTTAAGTGAATGACAAAAAAAAAGCAATGCAATCCAAATTTATAATACCAAATATAAATAATTTAAGAATTCAAATATATTTGCGCTTACGAAATCGATAATCAGTCATTATAAATCCTGATCACTTCTATCATAGAAGATAGACATTTGTTGGAATATAAGTATATATTAAAGATTTGAGATTGATTCTTTCGGCGATTATCGTTTGGTCATCTTTTAACACGGCTCTGAAAGAGTATGTAAGTCGTCGCTCAGGTTAAAATCACATGAATCCTGTTCCATAATAAGCTCTTGAGCAAGTTATTGCTCCTCTTAAACTCACTTGCAGTTGACTTCCTTAAGAGCAAGTATAATGGCGAGGTTCATTTTAATATAATATGTATTTTATTTGTAATATAATTTGTTGTTCTTGGATACTTATGAATGAATTGCGTATGAGCTGGCTTGATTACTTGGACTCTATAATTAGATGCGCTTGGAGCCATCGGTGATTAATGGACTTGTAATTCTCATTGATTTCAGCGCAGTTGCCGACAGCTGAGAGATGAAATAACAGATTAGCATTCAAATACTCGGACTATCATATCAGCTACTATTTTTAGCGCGCTTAAAAATCCATTAATTTGAGTCGGTCGCTCATGTGCAGACAAGTTTGAGCCCAACATAGATTTCAATTCCTTAAAGTGGCATTAACCTCCGGCCGGACCAAGCCGTACTGAGGCCGAAAATTTGCTCCAATGATTGATAACCGCTGTCAGACGTTTAACTATTTCAATTAACAAAACAAAACAAAAGCAAAGCAAATGGCAATAGTAATAGCAACAGCAACAGCAACAAAAAGAAAGCGAAAGAAGGCAAAGGCAAAAAGGCAAAGTACGCACAAGGCAATTTGTTAATTGTCGATCAGTAATAAATCAATGGCAATCGACAATTAAGCGCGCTAATTGTTGCACAGCTTACAACAATTGCGCTAACCAATTGGCCAACTGAACTTGACCCCAGCGCCAACTGAAGACAATACAAAATATGATTATACAACTCAATGCAATTCAATTACTGCGGTTTTCTGCGACTTGTGGCATCAACAAAAAGTTAGGGTTTTTGCGGCTGCCACTCTCAAACAAATGACAGCTGAACTTGAACTTGGTTTTACTATCGATAATATTATCTCCTATGTTCTCCCCTCCATTAAGTGCGTTGACTAGCGGAAAAAAAGCTAAAACTAACGCATTGCTTGCATTGCTGCGACAAGTGTGCAATTTGTATTTAATTGGTCGCATTAATGGCGAGGGTCGTTAATTAAGTCATAAAATGATTTATAGCTGTGTTTACTCTATTCAGTTCACGAAATCTTTATCGTGAATACTTTCAGACAGACAAACCTTTTAAAGCTATTAATACTTAGTTATTTCTTTTAGAGATCTGACAACATCTAAAGCATGCCATTGATTAAGTTTAACTAAATTTGAATCTGGCTTGAAACGTGAATCTTCTGAAATATCAGTAACAACTTAAGAACTGCCCTCGTATGCTGTTAATTGCTTTCCAGTTTAAGGGTCGTAAATGTCAAGCATATTATGTTGTACACTTTAAAGCAATATGAATTGTAACAAAAGATCGTAATTCACAATATATGTACATACAGAAATAACTTAGCGGCTGGCTTGTGGTTTAAGCCTTCTGTTTATTGCTTCCGGCAAGCAATTCGTGCGTTATGATTATGATGATTATGCATATTGCGATCTTAAATCAGACAATCATACAAATATCTTGTAAATTGTCATTTAAATCAAGTCGACGACGTTCCTCAAAAATGGCCTGAAAGCTGAGCAGCAGCTGCAGCAGCAACAACAACAACAACAAAAGCGATCAATAAAAAAAGACCAACAATCACACGAAATTTTCACGGTCAGCACGACAGAGGCGGAAGAAATTGCCAAAGCTATAGTTGCTGACAACACAGCAGCATTGTTGTTGCTATTGCTATCGTTGTTGTTGTAGTCGTTGATGCAATTTTTGTTGCTGTTTTCGCCTGCAATCAAGTCAAGGTGTTTGCCAGCTTTCCTATCACATTTGCATTAGATTTGCATAAGCGCCTATCGAGGCTGATTGACCCGAATGAAGTGCAACTCAAGCTGGAACTGAAACTGGTTACCGGAAAGCAACATCATCAACAGCAGCAGAGACCAGCGCAAGCCAAACGCTAGAAAGTTGCTTTTATTTGCCACTATCCGCCCAAGAACAACGACCATCACGTGTCGCACGTAGGCCAGCAACAACAACTTGCTTAAAGGCTCTCACACTCAATGCTCGAGTGAGAAATGAAAACAGCAACAACAAAACTAATGAATGAAAAAACTCACTCAAAACGCAGCTAACAAAGCAACGTCGGCCACGTCGACGTCGACAACGGCGCACGCTTGCCATGCTTTATATAAAATCAACTGAGCATTTCTGTTGGAATTCATTAAACGTTTTACCGCACAGCTCGACGTACAAACTTACGATCCGCCGAGCCCGAGTCCGATTCCGATTCCGAGTCCCCGAGTCCGAGTCCGAGTCTGAGTCTGAGTCAAAGCCAAAGCCAAAGCCGAGCAACAAAGGCAGCACACACAATTTTTAAATACAGCGCAGCGCAGATTCGTGTAAGCCAATACCCAGTTGACAGCCAAACAGCATCCAGCTAACAGTTCCCAGCTCATTGTTAAAGCCGCCGAACGCATTTGAATTTGGCTTTTTTTGTTTCACTTGACTCGCGTGCGAACGTTTATAACAATAATACAAATAATAATATTAATGCAATTTATAGCTAAAATACAAAAAAAAAAAAAATCCGAAAATTAAAGCAAGGAAATTGCAAATTCATTTTAAGAAATACCTACAAAATCAATAAATAAATAAACAAGCTGGTGATTCGTGCTCTAAAGAAAAGTGTAGTGCTTCATAAATCCGAAAATTAATTTTGAAAATATTTGTTAACTAATTGCAGCGCAACTCAGCTCAATTACCGTCTACAATAAAACACTTCAACTAAATCAACATGAAATTCGTAAGTATATCAACTCGAATCAAATCAAAGCGGGAAAAAAAAGAAGTTATATTTAATTTTGCGTATACGTGATTTTGAGCAAGTTCGTTGCCTAAGTCTTTTATTTTCGCACTACCCAATGCCAAGCGACAATTTTCACAGCATTTTTATTTGATGCTCGCTCGCACGCCAATGCGAATATGCAAGAGCCGTGAGCCAACACACTTTGCCCACCATTCACCTCAAATTGACCCAAGCCAGATCAAACTCTGAGGCTATTGTAGTATTCAGAATTTTTATTGGGCAGTTGAATTTATGGCCAGCCGCCAGTGGATTGTTGCCCGTTGTCGTGTGTCAATTTTTAGCGGCAAGCATTTTGTCGGCATTAACGACTTGACAAAGCCCGCCGCAAGCAAATGTATATAAATGAACATATCTATCGTAATCGTATTTAAATAAACACACACAAACACACACGCACACACTCGTAGAGAAGCATAAATGTAGCTGGCTATTAAGCTGTTATGTCGCAGACAATGGTCTCGGACTACAGCATCCAAGCCATAAATTGTATACGATTTGCATAGCATATGAACTATAATTATGCAGCACGCATATTCAATGTTTCCGCCTAGCCAATTCCACACTCACATACACACACACACGCGCATACGCATACGCATGCGTGCGCTCATTGTGCAGAACGGGCTGCAATTAGATGATAAAAGCTAAAGCAATATGGGGTAAAGAGGGAAGTTCAAGTTCATGGTGAAGGCCGTTGCCGAACCAGACAAGCAGCAGACACTTGTTTGCAGATCAAGCCAAATGCCAAGAAAAACAGCAACAGCAACAGCAACAACAACAACAACAACAAGCAGCAATAACGCAATGGCAAAACGGCAAAACGTGCTTGGGCATGCGTTTTGTAAGTTAATTGAAAAGTGCGATACACACGCGCCAATATATCCCCAAAGCCAAAGCCAAAGCTGAAGCCAGAGTCACAGTCAAGTGACCAAACTGGCGCTGCCTCTAGCGCTGACGCTGACCAACATCTTGGCCATTGCGTGTCCACTTCGCGGCGTCTCGCCAGCATTCAACTCCAATGCACAGTGTCGTGAACGTGCGCATGTGCGTGTGTGTGACGGCCATAAATTTAACAACTATGAAAAGCCCGCATTCGATTCATTAGAGTCTCTAAGTTATGCAATGGCAACTGCAACGGCAACAACAACAACTTGCAACTGCAACTGCAACTGCAATCCAGCTGACTGCAGTCGGCAGTCGGCAGTTGCCGTTTCATCCCAAGCACTCAGCAGGCAGGCACTTGGGCACCCTGGGAACCGCAATCAACGTCTGGCAAATCGCTCTCGATTAGGATTGGGTCATGCGTGCCATGCTCTACTCACACACACACACACACACACACACTCAAAGAGTCTAAACGAAAGAAAAAAAGATTTATTAATTGCTCGACAATCGCTTTAATTCATTGGTTAATCGCTGCCATCGCCAGCTACAACTTGTCCTCGTCGACATGTTGTTGCATTTTACACGCTTTGCGTGTAGAAATTCAAATTAATTGCCATAAATATAAAATTGCCTTGTGTTACGCTTGGCTTGCTTTGCATTGGCCTGGCCAGACCAGGCCATGTCGCTATGGTCTCAGCTAATGAAGATGCCGCAGCCTAGACTAACATATACTTTACGAAACACACGCACACACACACGTGTGTGTAATTGTCGTGCATAATTGTAGCTCGTCTAGGCCAAGCCAAAGTACTGAGAAGCAGTATATGGCTATAGAGTTTCAGCTTAAGCTGATCAGATTTGAAACTAGGCTAAGACTTGATCAAATTAATTTTAAAGTTTTACGCACTCTGAGATACTTTTAGAGCATTTTATTGGCATATGAAATGCGTTGAAGATAACTGAATGCACAATAACTATTTAATTGTTCAATCGTTTCTCACAACATGCACATGAATCCTTTGGCCAGTCGGGGCGCTCCTCTCAGCTCGGAGCAATGAAACTAATGCTCAGTGTCTTTGGCATTATGTGCTGTGCGATGTCATTTGATATCGTTCATCGCATCAGTCGCTGTTTTTAGTTTTTGGTTAGTTTTTTGATTTTGTTTTGGCCATTTTATTATTACAATTCGCTTAGTGCGACACGATTAGCGTTTGCAGCAAAAGCGCAGCTGTCGCAATCAGAGCTGGAGCCATGTCTTGGTCTGCGAGTTAGTCAGTCAGTCACTCAGTTAGTCAGTCGGACAGTCAGTCAATGCGCACGGCAAGTGCCTGGCATACACATGTTCCACATGTCCAGCTACAGTTGGACATTAGCTTGAAGCTCGGAGAGCGTGTGGTGCTGCCCACATGCGAACGTTGCGAGCGGTGCGAGTGGTGCGAGCGCGAGCGCGTTTTTGGCTTGCAAAATAGTTATGTTAGATTTATCGTCGAAATGGACACGGGACCGGGGCCAGGCCATTACCATATTTATAAGCTACGGGCAGGCAGGTAAACGGGCAGGCAGTGGACATGTGCGTTGTGTTTGGCATTTTGTCATGCCTTAAATGCTACAAATTTTTGCTGTTGCCGCATGAACTTGAACCAATTTGCTTGCCGCCGCTGCTGTTGCTGTTGCTGTTTCATTTGGGGGCCGCATCAGCAGGAAAAGGAAAACTGTTTCGATTCTCACGCTGCCAAGCGGCAATTGGCACTTCCTAGCCAATGAGCTGTGCCAAATTGATGCCTAATAATCGCTTGGGCAACAAGTAATAGCTAAAGCAATCAACAGTGGGCAGCGAGTCGACGAGCGGTCTCCAACTGGCCCGTCGTGGCCCGTGGTGGCCCGGCCTGGCATCATTTCCAGCTATTAAACACAATTCAAAGTAATTGAAAGCAGCGACCGTGCTGTAGCAGTTGTTGATCTTGTTGCGCCTACTAAACACAGCCAACAGTCGCGCTCCATTTTGGACTTTAGGCTCTGGCAAACGCAAATGCATCCAGACGGGAGCCAAAAGTCTAAAGCCGAGATTCGAGCAGCGAGCAGCGAGCGGCGAGTGGTGAGAGTTTGGATTTAGCAGCATGCTTCCGTGTTGAAAGTCAATGAACAGTTGCCCAATCGAGCGTTAACCTGGACAGTTTTAGCATCTGAGAGAGTTATTGCCGCCACTGCTGCCGCCGCTGCTGCTGCCACTGCTGCTGCTGCTGTTGCTGCTGCTGCTGTAGGCGTTACAATCATTAACAACCGATAACAATATCAATTTTTTGTTTTCTTCCATTTGTTTTTTTATTTTTTATTTTTTTTTATGGCCGCGTAAATTTGAGCACAACTTCAATTGTTCAACATTCACTTTTGCAATGCTCACATCAAAATTGGTTATGCTCGCTAGCTAAATGACAAACCATTTAAATAAGATTAATTAATGCTCCAGCTGTAGCCAGCAGGCCTCATTTTTCCCCGTTTTCCTGTCACGTGACTCACTCCCTGCCCATGCAAATTGAATTCAAACCTGCGGGAACAGCTAATTGAAAGTTAATTCTCAGTGTATTTTATGCAGCACAGAAATAAATAGACAAAATAAAAACATAAAAAAAATATGCAAAACGCTCTGGTTACCTGTTCGAATGGATTTGTCCAAGTCTTTGTAGAGTAATAAAAAAAAATAATTTATTTTTACTGCACATTTGAGCCAATCAAAATCTAAACGCCAATAAATGCCAGCGAAAAAATGAAAAATCTGATTGAAAAATAACTAAAATTGATGCGAATTCAGTAACACAAACAGCTGAGATACCCTGCAAAAAATGGATACAAGAAATGAAAAAATTGTAATTTTAAGAAAACATTTGTGAAATCCATTTCTTATTCTAAATTTGCATTTGCCACTTTATTGAAGTCGCTTCAAATTTTGAGCTTCTGTATGCCCTTTAATTGGTTTCTACAGGGTATGCTGATACTGACTTGCTGCTAACAAGGCAATGTTATTGTGTTTTCGTTGTTGTTGTTGCTTTCGCAGTTGTCCACTGGTTTGTTGTTGTTGCTGTTGTTGTTGCGCTTTTCATTTAGGTTTTATGCGCTGGCACAGGCACGCTCACATGTTGCTGCACTTAATCATTGTTGTGGGTGGGTGGGTTTTCGCATGCGCCGCCGTTAGCCAACAGTCTCGACTGCTGCTGTTTGTTGCCATGTCGGCCTGCTAGCGCCGCCCAATTACGAAATCATATCTAAGGTCATTTGTTCAACTAATTTGCGGCAGCCTCGATAAGAGCGGGGCGCGGGGCGAGCTACAATGAGGAATGATTGCAATTTCAATACAAACTGTTTTGTTCTCATGTCCCACAGTCGAACAAATTAGCTTAACTTAGCGTGCGCTGCTCGGCTTCACGGCTACCCGTGTAAATTCTTATGTGGATTCCTTGCGGCTAGCCGCAAAGCTGAGCAGCAAAACAGAAACAGATTATTAAACTGGAGCTGCGCTTAATTTATTTTAATTAGCTTAAACGGCAACGGTAAATGGCCGCTGTCTGCGGTTTCAGCTCGCCGTCCTCAGCTATGCGTAGAATGCCGAAATGCAAATCTTTGGAAGCCAGCAGAAAAAACTCAAAATGCCTGCCTCAGGCCACAGCTGACGACATTTTGACGGTTTACATGTGTTGCATGCCACAGTGGGCACCAAATATATAGGCAGCATACACTGCGCAAAATGATGGTCCAGAATTGAGGCACAAGTAATTTAAGAAAAACCTAAATAGAACAAAATTGCACTAAAAGAAAATAGAACTTATTTAAATGCTAGTAAATTTTGATGTCTTATTAAAAATAATATAAATTAATTTTTGTGCAGCATAAAGATATTCAAAAATTCTTCAAATTCAACTAAACTCAAATGCAATATAGAAATATCCCCTCTATTCACTCTTCTGCAAAAAGAACATATATTTTGTTAGCAGTAGAATCGATTAGATAGCTACCTTGATAATTGTACAAAATTGTAATTGTACCTTAATGATTTAGATTTCACATAATTTGCTTGCAATATGCAAACCAATTCAGCAAATTGTCAATTATTTGGCTCAGTGCAATAGCAGCTGTTAGTTTTGTTCAAATTGCTTTAAATTGTTGTTTCCTTTTTTAGATTTTAAAGTCCGATTAGATTGTTTTTTATGATGGATCAAAAGAGTTTTTGTCGGCTTCCCATGGCAACTGTTGAGCTTCCATTTACCTGGCTTTCAACCGGGAACTCGTACAGCTGATTGGCATTTGCTAGAACCGCCCACTGCAGACTCGGACTCAGACTGAATCACTTTCGGATTTATTTCCCATATGAGATTCAGCCAGCTTTATCACATGTGTTTCATCTGCTCTGGAGAACTGATTCGCTTTGATGTGCTCAGTGGAGCCAATAGCTTGTGCTCTAGTGTGGCAACAGACGTTCTGTCTGAGCCCAACTCCAGCAGCAACAGCAACAGCAACAACAACAACAGCAACAGACATGAATTAATTAAAAGGCATTTTCACAAGTTTGCGATACTCTAAAGTCTAGACAAGAGTCACAGTTGCTTGTTGGCAACTGTTCGCCTTGTTTGCATACTTTTTTTTTTTTTTTTTTTTTTTTGATTATTTAGTCTCAAGACAATTTGTGCTCTTGTTATTTTTATTCTTATATACAATATATGCATATTTTGGCTTATAGCAATTAGCGTTGTTGTTGCTGTTCTTGTTAGAGCTACTTGTACATATATTTGATTTTGTTGCCTTTTTTGTTGGCTTTTTATTTTTTATATATTTGTAGGGTGCTCGTAAACACTTGCTGCATATTAAATCAATTGCAGTAGCTGTAGCAAAATCAACAAAATGCCTGTAAAATTAACATGAGCTGCAAGCGTTCGACCAAATATTGCGCATACGCCCTGCAGTGCAATGCAGATTGCAGGCGCGGCCCATTAGGCAATTAATGAAGCAAAAACCTTTCAAAGCCACAACAAGAAAACGAAAATAACAAAAAGCCAGCCACAATTACATTACTGAATGTGGGCTTAGGTGTGATTATTGGCCATAAAACAGCATATGGATCTCTATATTCAGCTGGAAGTCTTTCATATGGGGCAGTTTGGGTTTCTGAATGCGATCTATTAAGTCATTGCTGCCCTATGATTAGCGTCCAGTGCAGTGGCGTCTGTTGCAATTGCGTGACGGTCTTAAATAAGACATTGGATGCAGCAACAACACCCACAACACTTGCGGCCCAGTTGCCAATTGCAGCTGCCAATCGAACAGCGCCAGTCTGTCGAGCATTCAGTGGGAAATCAATAAATTCAAGCGCCTAGCCGACAGCCAGCACTTTATTTATATATAAAGATATATATACACATATATGTATGTATATGTGTATATTTATAACCACAAAGCCAATTTGCACAGCATGCTGCAGTTGGGCCATTGATGCATGCCGCCACAGCTTCCACAAAGCTTGACCACAAGCGCAGCTCTTGGCGCCTTAACGAGCTAAAGCTGCATGCTTATCACAACATTAGATTCGATGCATTTGGCGCTGTTGCTGCTGTTGTCTGCCTCCGAATTGGGTCAGCTTTCGAGATCCGTTGTGAGAGAGTTTGAAAATATTTGGCTAACATTTCAAGCCGCGCTCTTGCAGCAATTGTCGTAAATATTGTTTTATGCAATTGCCGCTAATTACGCGTTCAAAATGCTCTACATACGAAAAATTATCCAACAGAGAGAGATGGACAAAGAGAGAGACAGACAGAGAGAGACGGGGTAGGCAGCGCTAAGAACTGAATACAGGGTATTGGCACTTGGCTCGTGCTCGACTCAAGTACACCTGAATGGCATTCTAGTGTGGTACAAGCCAGAGGCTTAATTGTTTTCCATATGCTTAGCTACGCTGGCATTGACACAGATTGCAATGGTTTAATCGCTTTGACCGTACTTACCGACCGTATTACCAACTGTATTACCAACACGTAACGAAATCTGTATTTCCATTCCGTTTGCAGTTAGTCACCATTGCCGCTCTGTGCCTGTGCCTGGCCTTTGCTGCCGGCCAGCAATACTTTCTAGGACAATTTCCCACCAGATCCCGCTTCGCCTTCGACACTCTCTCCCTGGCACAGCCCTCTGCTGCGCAGGTGCGCGATCCCCGCCAAAATCGAGGTAAGCTCTACACATTGTGTATTGTGTATATTGAATATTATACATGCTCTATATGCTTTCGTTTTCTTTTATACACTTTTTTTATACTTTTCAGGACCCGTTGTGTTCCCACCCTCGCCGCCAGATGCGATTGAGGAGTCGAGCGGTGTTGTTGTTGGCGCCTCTGGTTTTGGTTTTGTGCCGCCACAGCAAAGTAATTCACTCAGACGTACGGTCTAAACAATAGCATAGTCTAGGCCATTGTCACTCACAGCTACACTTGCAGCTACACCCACACAGACACACACTCTCACTCACACTCACACACACACACACACTTAAAGCTTTATTAGTGCAATTGAAGTAGTGTTTAAATATTGTTTTTTTATTGTTAAATAATTATCCTCCAACCCACGTCCAATTCACAGGCACAATCTTTGGTTAACTGCACACACACGCACACACACACACACATACACAGCCATAAGCACACACACGCACACAAGCTCACACTCAGTTACAGCACAGACAATGCCAAACAGCGGAAACGGAAATGCGCGTCACAGTTAATCGCAATTTGAGCGTTCGCAGCACTTAATCAACTTCAAGCTAAGCCCCACAGTCGGCCACAGCACACAACAACAGCCCTAACCCATCCCACACCCACGCCCACGCCCACACCTACACGCACACCCACCCACATAAGCCGCACTTGCTAACATAATAATAACAACTAAACTATGTCAAAGTAATATTGCTTATTAGCAATTATTTAGTCTAATTATTGTTATTTAGTTGCAAACACAATAATTTTATTTTTCGTTTTGCTTTTTATGTTTTTTATTTCTATTTGGCCAGCTCTTTTATTATATGTATTTATGTTTTCTTTTGCATATTACGAATTTTTATTTTGTTTAATTTGTAACTTAAAAATTATTATTTTTAGCCCAAAAATAAACAACTAAATTATAAAAAACAAAAAACAAAATATATATTTTTTTAATTAATTTATATTTATATTTGAATAATTTTGACTTCTTTCGGCCAGACAAGAAAACAAATTTCAGCAAAAATGCAACATGGTATTATATTTTTATTATTTACATTTTATCTTTATTTTGTTATTCGAGTGTTTTTGATTTTCGTTTCTTTTGATAATTATTTTGTAGTGTTTTGAGTTTCACATTCACAAATGCAGCACTTTGGCTTTTTGATATTATCGTACAAGTATGCTTATGATTTCTTGTAGCAATTATTGTAAGTGCACACCAAAACAAGCGTCTAATTAACAAAAGACACCTTTGAAGTGCAGCGACACAAATCGAACAGCTTCACATTAGAGTGGGCTCAAAATATTGACATGCTTTCAAGCGCCCAAATTGTTTGGGGCTGACGAAATATTATGACACTGAACGAGCACTTGTTGAAGGAGTCACTTGACTCAGTCGAAATTGAGCATGAAGGCATAGCTGATGATTAAGCATAGCATAATTAAATCTTCCATTTCAATATGTAATATCTCAATTATACTTATAAAGTAGTCTAGCAGCTTAAAACCTCAAGAGTCGATCGAAATATTATAATCCTATATATGTTTATAAATATAGAAATAATCTCGACATTTGGATTTACTCCTGTTCATTATACAATCTTGTATTATTATAATATATTATATTATAAATGGCTTGAACATGTTAATTTTTCCGTTTGGCAACTCAGAAATGCACTAGATATGGATATATATAATGAAAATCTTCCTTTGAATTATATATATATAATTTCATACATTTATATCTGCACTTTATGATATGAAATTTTTCATATGGGTCTTTAGCTCCTCCCTTGCCATACTATTCATAAATTAATCCGTTTTTAAATGTATAAAAAATGTGCACTAATACATACATACATATATGCAGCCCATGGCTGAGGCAAGGCTTTTGCTTATTCATTGCCTGTTCTCTGATTGCCAATATAGCTCTCCACATGCCAATTCTATTATCCCCTTGGCAGGCAGCCTGTGATGCCTTAAGTACCCCACACTGGCAAAGAAATATGAACAATTTTAACGACAAGCAAATATGTTGAGCCCCAAGTCCCAAAACCAACAACAACAACAAAAGCAGCAGCAACAGCAGCAACAGCAACAGGTGCTGCTATAGCAATCAAGACTTAAGCCGCAAAAGGCTATGTGTCTGGCCTGTCTATAAAATCAATGAGCGTATGCACTGATATTTGCATATGAGACAGAGAGAGAGAGAGGGAGAGAGAGAGAGAGAGAAATGAGGTGCAATAGAAACAGAGAAACACTCAATGATATGCGCGTCTAATGCTGCGCAAAAAATTTGTTAGTAGTTTGCATTTTTTACCTTTTTTTAATACCCGGCAGGTATTGAAAAGACTATGACTAAATGAGCCAAGCTGCCTTTATATACCATATCCTGCTGGCATCAGGCAACTATTTAACAATTCAATGGAGAGTATCTTTGAGTCGACTAACTACAGCTGCGTATTTCTAGCCGTTTTATTTTATAGCTTTTTGCCATTTGTTTTTCGTTTGAGAGCCAAGAAATGCAAAGAAAAACGAAATGGAGCAACTTTTTTTTTTGCTATAGCTTAGCCTTAGTGCGCCAGTAGGCCAAGCCAAGCTCAGGCAGGCAAGCGAGCAGCCAGAGGACTTGGACTTACTTAGTACACAAATGCAATGGAAACACATTTCACAATGAACGAAGTGAACAAACGAATAAACGAACAAACGAACGACACTAAGTTGAGATAATTTTTACAATTTGACAATTTATGCACGATTGGCCCAACTGGTAGCCAAATGACCGATATCGATTGGCCAGCCAAACAGTCAGCCAGCCAAAAGGCCATTGTGTAATTAATTTTGCAAGCCTTAAAGTTCTCTGAGCAAAAAAATACAAGCATAAAATAAAAAAATAGTTACGCAGCATATGCTTCCTGGATGAGGACTGCCTGTGGCTAGCCGGCTTGTGGCTGTGGTAACAATGACGCAAATGCTGCACCACAGTTGCTCTTATAGTTGTTGCTGTTGTTGTTGTTGTTGTTGTTGTTGCAGCCGCCAATTGACAGCCACCCACCATAAAATATGTATACGGACAGCTAACGACGGTCGGTTAATGTTACCAAACATTAAACGGGGCATTCTAAAAAGTGAAGCCAACGCCCCAGAGACAACAGCAACAACAACAACAACAGTCACAATGATAATTGCAGCTGGACACTTGCCCAATAACACTTGACGCCATGATTGACGAAGCGCCTAACCTTCAGCGTGTCTTGTCAGTTGCCGACGCCCACAGTTGGAATTTTGTTACGAGTTGGCAGCAAAGTATCACCTACTAATCTCAAGTGCACACGCCAAAGCCTAACAATAAATATTATTATTTGTAATTATATTTGTAGTAATGCCAAAATCCGAATGGCCGCCAAATCAATTGACAATGTCTCTCTGTTTTGTTTTTTTTGTTTTTCTTTTGTTTTTTTTTTTTTGTTGTGTCCCTCTTTACTGTCCAATTCGCAGCGGTGGCAGCAGTTGCAGCGGCAGCTGGCGGCGTGGATCCAACATATTTCAGCACCACATTTCAGACGCCCGACACATCGTATGCAACATTCAACTATTATACCAGTCCATACAATACGCGGTACACATACATCTAAGGCAACGGGGATGCCAGCCCAACAGTCGAAAGACATGGAGAGGAACAGAGAGAGAGAGAGAGAGAGAGTTGGGAGTCGAGTCATGTGTAAGTAGTCAGTTAATGAGGCGCCTAGGCAAATATCTAACAATGTTGTAAATAAATGTGTAAAATGTGCAATTTGTGTTTAACTTTTGTGCGTCGTGTTGTCGTGCAGTCAAGTGTGCAGCAATATATCTTGTTTGTGTGTGTGTGTGTGTGTTTTTTTTCGCTGCCTTGCAGTCGTTAATGTATGCACAAAACGAAAGACTCAGGAAACGAACTTGAGAGCGAGCAAGCGTTAAGCGAACAAATCAACATTTGTTATCACTGCTGTAATATTTGTTATTGTTGACTTGTTGCATAATTTCGTTCATGTTATATCACACATACATACATAAGCATCTACCAGAGATGCAGGCCCAAGCGATGCTTATCGATCGGCAACGCCCACGCAAACAGTAGCCCAAATCGTCGCGGTAGCCGCTATTAAAGTGTGAACTGAATACGCGTCATCGTCATCTGGCATGGAATGGAATGTTTATTCGCTTGTTACTGTTTGATTGCAAGAAATCTGTGCAAGCGTTTGCCTTTGCCTTTGCATTTTACAACAGCATTTCATGCCGCCGTAGACTATTGCATGCTGCCATTATATTGTTGCCGTTGCCGTTGCCGTGGCCGTTGCTGTTGTTGCTACTGCTGCTGTTGCAGTTGGCGCTTGCTATTGTATGTTAAATTACGTAGACGCCTAGAATAGGCCAAGCCGGTGCCTGCGGTGTTAATTTCCATTGACACTGGGGCACATTTCCAACAACAGCAAAAATAAAGCCCCCAATTTTTGTATTTCTTTATTTATTTGTAAATGTCTGAGTGTATGCCGCAGTTGTCAGAAGTTGCAGAGCTGCGCGAAATATGAAAAAAAAAGTCAACAATTCTCTAGCGATTGAGTAACAATGCAAAGCAACAGCAACAACAACAACAGTATCCCAGAGAGATCATTAATGGTGACGGCTGCATGATTCACTGCCCGAAACTGTAATGGTCAAAGTGTGAGTGCAGACGAGCCACATGACGCGGCGGGTGCCCAGGCCTGTCATAATTCGTATTAAGTGCGGCCAGAACGGCAAAGGCCAATCACAATCGAGCACTGCCAATTGACAGTCATCGCACCGTTGATAACCTTGTTGACCACAAGAATTTTCAATGAAATGACAATTTGCTGACTGCAAGCAATATTTATGTCTTGTCGCTTTAGGCAATAAATGAAACTACAAGCGTGTCCCACGTATCTAAGAATTGCATATATATGTATCTGTGTGCATATGAATATACATATAAATCGCACCAAAACAAGCAAAAAAAATATTGTTTGGAATAAAGTTTGAGCCTTCGAGCAAACAACGACTGCAGTATTGTTTGAATTCGTTACCATTCCTGTTTTTAATTAGCTGTGCTATGTGACTCACAATTTGTCAGCACACACCTTTTTGAGTGTTTCGTCTAGCAAATCCTGTACATTAATCACGTCGACCAAAAAGAAAAACCGAACTGACCTTCGGTACATTTGCTTTAATTGATTTGTATTTTAATTCCGGTTTCAGCACATACTAAAAAGTTTAAAGACCCTTTCGAAATGAACCCGCCAATTTGATATATAATTAACATAATTTGCATTGTCTGATTGTGTTAATTGTTTTCTTATTACTATTTGCCTTTCTATACATTCATATCGTGCGACTTCCTAATACCGGTTTGTTTGTTCTAATTGAATTAATAACGAAAAAAAAAAACGACAAAGACAAAATATCGAAAAACCGTTTCTTTGACATGCTCACGTTTTTCAACACATTGAGCGGTGAATGTTATACTTCAAGTCAAGTTGGCAGCTTCAATGGGTGTCTATCGACGTGCCGCCATATCTCTTTTCATTTGCGAAGATTCTAGACCAGAACTACCAAAAATAGATATAAAATATTAAAAATAAATATGGAACAATGCTATAACAGAGGTTGTGGACAACAATACGATCCAGCCACAAATTCTGATGGTAAGTAAAGCTCAATAAACAAAAAGATTAATACTACCAATACATTTTTTTTCGCAGAATCGTGCCGGCATCATCCAGGTGCTCCATTTTTTCATGATGCCTATAAAGGATGGTCATGCTGCAACAAAAAGTCGGTAGATTTCACAGAATTTCTTAATATCAAGGGCTGCACATTGGGTAAGCATTCAAACATTAAGCCACCTGAACCAGAAAAACCTGCCAAGGATAACAAAGATGAGGAGAAGGCTGTGGAAGTTGAAGTACGTGCACCCATTAAGGAATCACTGCCCAGGCCACCGATTGATACGCCTTTTACTGTCCTTAAGCCAACAGTGGCTCCAGCATTGAAGGACACCATTGACAAATTAAAAGTCAGCGGTGTTGCTGCGCCAGTTGCAGCGGCAGAGAGCGATGGGTAACTAATATTTTTTTTAAATATATTACACTGTGTTTATTATGTAAATATGTTATATTTTTAGAACCATTGCTGTGGGAACAAGCTGCAAAAACAGTGGCTGCACTTACTCCTATACGAACACCAGCAGCGACTTTGGCGAGTGCACCTACCATCCTGGAGTTCCCATTTTCCACGAGGGCATGAAGTTTTGGTCATGCTGTCAGAAACGTACCTCAGATTTTGCTCAGTTCATGGCCCAAAAAGGCTGTGTGTACGGTCAACATAAATTTGTTAAGGATGTAAGTTATTTGAAATCAATATTCTGGAACATTCGACAAATCTCTTAATGTTTTGCAGGATGATGACAAAAAGGTTATTCAATGCCGATATGATTGGCATCAGACAGCTACAAATGTTGTTGTCGCCGTCTATGCCAAAAAATATCATTACGCGGAAAGTCTTGTTGAAGTCAACCCAATACGCTTGCATGTTATGCTCGTCTTCCCAGAGCAGGAAAATGCTAAATTTGACTTGGACCTAGAACTGCGCGGTGTAAGAATGCAAAATTTTAAATAAGCCTTGAAAGTCATCTTATTGAATACACATATTTTCTTAGATTGTCAATGTACAAACGGCTTCTGCACAAATGTTGGGTACTAAGGTTGAGATTACATTGCCGAAGCTGGAGCCAGGATCATGGCCAAAACTTAATTTTCCACGTGATGTGCTGCCAGCAGTAAAGAAGGACACTGATCAGAACAACCGAAAAGCAGTTGAGAGTGATGAGGAGTTCTTCGACTTGGACGACATTCAATCTGTTCAAAAGTATGGACTTAAATTATCCGAAATGAGTTTAGAAAATCCCAATGCATTAGATTGATAACACACTAGCATTTTATTGTAGTAACTAAATAGAGCCATCATTGAGAGTTAAGCTGTTTTGTTTACAATACACAAGTATGCCTTATGTGAGTTTTATTTTAATATCGCAGAGTGGCTTAATCGTCGTCGTCATCGGCCCCGGGTACCCAATCCTCATCGTCGTCATCATCTAGATCCAGTTCACCAATATCTTGAAACAAGGTTTCATCGATTTTAACATTCTCGAGACTTTCGCCGGCCTCTAACAAGAATTTGATGTCCGAGTCGTTCAATGTGTTATCGCACATGAATAGCTCTCGGCCTGTCAATTTCTTGCTGTCATTGTTCTTCTCTCGCTTAGCAGCAATACCGGTACTCTCCTCAAATTCTAATTTCCATTTCATAAATGTCTCGACGGTCACTCGTGTGCCTTCAAATTTCTTTCTTTCTGCTTCTTCGACTTCTTGGACCCTGCGTGCTCGTTCATCCTCCTGATTCTTCTTGTGCTCGTCCCATTGTACATTCAACCACTCCTGTGCACTACTGACCAACGAAAATATCATCTCCATGCCAATATTTTCCTCAATGGTCTTGCGCAAATGTTCCAGCAGTTTTGCTTCGAAATTCTCTTCAAAATTTTCTGCTTCCTCAATTTCCACCAGCGGTGCTTCGTCTGGATATAATGCTGTGTACGTAAACACAAGTTTGCAAGCTAAGCCCTTTTCACTGTCTTCCGCTGCATCGGCATTGTACTCCTCCGTGGCGATAGGAATTTGAAATTTGTGAAAAGGCTCCGTTTGTAGAACTGCAATAGGGAGTTTACGATCATAACTATTATTATTATTGTTTTGAAAGAACACAATTCGAGTTACCTTCCATTTCGCCGCAATATATGGAATCGAGGGCTTCAACCTCATTGATCTGATCTTCTTTATAGTTTCGGCTCATTGTTATTATTTATAAATATATATAAATAAGAAATAAATAATAAAAATGTCCGGGATCCCGTTTGTGTTCGGTCTTGTTTTTAGGTTATTTGGTTAAAATAGTCTGGCAGCACTCAACCAGTATGATGACCACATGTCAACTGTTTGGCATGAGGCTACATATCAATATGTAAATGTTAGAAATTTATCTAAATTGGAAGCAATAAAATATATAGACCAAAATAAAAAATTTTACTACTAATAGACCAAAAATAATAATAATAATAATAATAGATGACCAATAACATTTAATTTATGTCATGCAGCTTGAACGTGACAATCGTGTAACTTTGCGTTGCCACGCAAGCCTACTCAGAGTTGCCACACCGATATTTTTTGAATAATAAAAATTGAAAATATGCTTTTTTATTTAAAAATTGATCTGTACTAATTATTTTTGGATTTTATCATATAAATTATTTATGATAATTAAGAATAATTTTTTTTAATTACTCAAAAAATAATTCTTTTACTATAAAAATTATAATCGTTACGGTCCTTGAAATCTAAAATATGTTCAACAAATTTTTAAAGAACTTTACATTTATTTATCAATAATACCAACTATAAATACCATGAAACTAATAAATAACATCTGATAAAGAATTTTCGTCTATTTATAAGAGCAGTCGTCCAGCAACCAATGTTTGAGAAAAAATAAGCTCTAGATTACCGATCAGGTCTTTCTAATCTGAAATAAAATAAACAGACGTTATATTGGAGCAATTAGTTAAATATATGAAAAATCAAAATATACTTACTTGTGTACTGTAATGAGGTGGTTCGCATCGACTTTTGTATCTTGTGGAGTTAAGAAACAATATTGTCTGTTGGGGAAGTCTATTCCCTCTTGAATAAGTAATTTAGTAATAAAAGTTCTATTCACTTCATCCTACAAATATACAAAAAATGTCTATGATAATCAGGTTGATCAATAAACGCTTCATACTTACAGTAAAAACATCGTATTCATCGAGGAAATAAAATGGGTGAGAGGAAGTACTCCAAAGGCCTTTCAGTAAAGATACCGTGGTGAAGGACCTTTCGCCTCCGGATAAGCTTCTCATATTTGAAGTCTTATTACCACTGGGTGGGTAAACACTGATCTTCAGCGTCTTATCTTTATGATTGGGTTCCAGATTACCTTCAAATTGTCGACAGATTAGTGCTTGCTTAAAGTGAAACTCTACCATGGTAAAGAAATGATGACGTGAACGCTGAAATCGCTGGGCTCGAGAATGATATTCGATGCGCAATTTCTCTACGACACATAAAATATTGTCCAGAATATCAGATTCTGTTTTTAGAAGATCACGCAATTTGGATAGCCTTTGCTCCACTTCTTCACTATTCAGTTTCATCGACTCGTAATGTTTTATCTTCGCTTTATAACGGCTAATTTGATCACGAATGTTTTCTTCCGATTTACTTGTTTCAATAAAGTCACCGACTCTCTGCGCCTCCTGGCGAGCTGCTTCTAGTTCGGCTTCCTTATCTTTTTTATCCTTTTTCGTTGTTTTAAGTAATTCGTCAGTTTGTTTCAACCGTCGTTGGTTTTCCTCAAAATGTCGATCCAAGTCTCTAGCCCTTGTTTGTAATTCCTGAGATTTCGCATCAATTTCGGCAATTTTTTTATTGAGACTGTCGAGAATGCTTTGTTCTTTTTTAGTTTCTTCGTTAGCTTGAGCACTACGCTCGGCTATTTCTCGAAGTTGATTTTCCAATATACTACGCTCCTCCTTTAATTTTTCTATCTTTTCACGGCTCGTCGTTAAATGAGTTTCCTAAACGGATAGAATGCAACAATATAGTCGATTTCAATTAAAGTCAATTTCGCCCCAACTTACTAGAACGTCAAAAGCAGGAAATTCCCGATACTCAAAATTCTCAATATCCATAATTTTTTTCATCGCTGTTGTGTTTTCAGTGTGATGTGCGTTAATCATATCACTTTTCGCGCTTATTTCCCGTGCGTCAGTTTCCAACTTTAACTTGGCTTTAGCATAATGGGGCTGTAGATTTGCAGCACGCTCCTGCAGACTATTTTGCTCAGCCTTCAGCTGTCGAATGCGATCATCGACATTCACTTGAATGAATCGCGCAGGTGATATTTGAATGGAGTACATGGCATAGTTGGGCGATGGACAATATTCCAGCCCCAAGCTTGGAACTAATATACGAGTCAAATTAGGTGGCACGTTTTCCATACTCGATGTCAGCGATTCGGCTGTCTCTTTAGAGTCAGTAAGCAACACCGTCTCAATGCGCAATGTATCAATAAGATAGTTCATTACGACGGGATCATCACATCTAATATGAAACAAAACAGGAAAGTGTAATTGAAAATGTTGGGCTACAAATTGCAAAATTCAAAAATTCAACTTACCTTATCTCATCCATCAGCACAGTCGTATTTGAAGATCTACATTGCACTTTGTACTTGGAGACATTATAGACCCGGTTTGTAAACGGACTGGTAACAATGGTGGGTATATTACCACCTGCATACGATTTTTGCAACAGAGCTCTAAGCGACAGTCTATCCTTGTCTGAGCTAACTATGTACGACCGCAGGCAATGGGATAATTGATTCTCAATTAGATCTCTGTACTTTGGATTAGGTACAGTTATGTACATGCCAATAGGTCCACGCGGCATTTGGCTCGCGTTGCTGCCGCTGTATTGAGCACGCAACGCATTGGCTACTTCCATTGCGTACTCGCCATAAACTGACAGTTTGTTGGATTTATTCCGTAATAGAGACTCCATTTCCCACTGCAGGCTTTCTAAAATTGACAAAAATTAATCAACATAAACTAATTAAGGTCCTGCTTCGCTATTATACGTACGCTCCATTTTATGCAGTTTTGTAATTTCATTCTTTGTAGACTCCAAGTTTTCTCTGGCTGCTGTTAACCGATTTCTCATTTCGCCTTGTTCATCCCTGAGTCTAGCAATTAGTTCATTCCTCTGCGCCACTTTCTCTTTAAGGGTCGCTAGTGTGGCAGCATTTTCCTCTCGAAGCCTTTTAACTTCTGAATAGTCTGCGTGGTAGTTTTTCATATGTTTTTGACAGCCCTCGAAGTTTGTCTGCTCCTCCTTCAAGCGCTTCTCTACATTCTTAATGCTTGCCTTAAAAGAGCTGGCTTTAAAAAGACAATCTTGAGCAATTCGCTTAGCAGCCCTGAGCGCATTTTCCTGCGCCTGATAATTTTCCATAATCCGTTGCTTGGTTTGCTCAAGTTCTCTACAATCAGATTACAAAATATTATAAATATATTCAATTAAGAGAATTTCTTTACTTACTGAAGAGCGTGAGCGATGCTCTCGTGTGTGCTGGTTTTCTGGGTGGTTTTTTGTGACAGATCCGCATTCTTCTTCTCAATTATTTTAAGAGTTTGCTCGATTTTAGTAAGATCATCCTGGATATGAGATACCTTTATCCAAGCCAGCATTGTTGTAGCCTCTTTCAGTTTAATCTACAGGAGAAAATTAAATGTTAAATATTGCACAAAACTAAATATTGTCCTCATACCTTAAGCGCTTCTTCATTTTTAATTATTGCCAATTTTTCCTCTTCTTCGTGGCACAGACTCTTCAGTTTTTGCAGTTTCTTAATATAATAACGAAATTATATTATTAAGTCTTTATTCAAATTAACTAATAATTTACCATTTTTAGTAGCTGTACATCATAATTTATATGTTCGCGATGTTCGTGACATTGAGTTAAGCTGTTCGCACATAAATCCAGCTGCGTTGCCTTCATGAACAGTTTGTAGTTTGATGCGGGCTCAAGACTGTTGGGGAATACGAAATATATCATGACATCATTAGATAATTTATTAATTATAAACTCACTCTTTAAGAAATTCACGTGATGCTTCCTGATTGAGTACAAATATTGGATTTTCAACACTTATGCCAAAATAAAGGATCATCCGTCGTATTTCATCTAGTTTCCTGGATACCGTTCTGTGATGAGAATCTTTTATCTCATACGTCGAAGATGATTGACGAATTTGTCGCACGACCGTGATATGTGGACCATAAATGTCGGGCTTAAATGGTCGATGACCGACATTGGATAGGGTTAGCTCAATGGATGCATTTGTCTCTCCATTTTTTATAAGTTCTGAAACAATATAAATTCTAGTTCATCAAAAGGGCCTTAGTTGAGAGTGCTCTAGTGCGTAAATTAATTGTCGTCGTGATCTTGACGATACAGGTTATAAAAATGTGTTACACATTGAGCTCAACGTACTCTGTATGCTGCTGGCGCGACTTGTGTTACGCGCACTGCCGGCCAGTCCTAGGGCAAGAGCTGCGATCACTGCACTTTTGCCACTGCCATTGCTGCCAACAAGAAAATTAATATTTGGTCCAAACTCGATGTACAAATGGGAATGACACATAAAATTTTTGAGGCGTATTGAAATAATCTTTCCACAACTTGTAAAAGCATTCGGAGGTGCCAGGCCGTACTATAAACAAATATAATTTATATAAGCTTTATCTGAATATGAAATATGGACTTACAGCAGGCTCTTCGCAGGAAGAATTTGCATTAGTTGTACGCTTGCGAACCGCACAAGATGTAGATGCCTCTACGAGCATTCCATCGCCATCATAGGTTCCTGAGCTCCGCTTTGATTTCTTTTTCTTTGGAGGCGAGGTTGAACTGTCACTGTCTGATCCTGTGGACAGATTTTTATTCCGAGTTCTGCTACGACGCATCTTTGGTTTGTCTACAGAAAAATATAAGAGATTGACATGAATCTGTTGAAGTTTACGTTCGTTTGTTTATAGGCGCCATGGAAGCGATTTGCGCGGGAATTTTTGATTACTTCGTTGTTTTAGGCATATTTAGAGCCATTTATAACATAGTTTTGGATATCTTCTTTAAACTTACATTGTATTGAGTTAACTTAGAAATGAATACAAGCTATGCACAATAACCGCGTTATTTTTGTATTTTAATACGCATTTCACTAAATGCCGCTACAAATATTGCGAAATGTTTACAAATTGAGTGTGACCAGAGTACAAATCGATGATAATACTGGCATTAGCGCAATACCACTAACCAGAGTGGCAATACGTTATAGTTTATAAAGTTAGCTAGCATATTTATTTCTCTTTAAATCCAAGATTTTAAATTTCATATTAAGTTTATTGGTATTAACTACTGTAGATTATGATATGTGTGTTAAATTATAAAATCAGTTCCACAAATATTTCAATCATGAACTGGATTCCAGGTAATTACAATGCAGCGCAATTTTGTTAATAACGGAAACATATTTGTATAAATTTAATAAATGTCGATTTACACTAGTACAATGTAAGAGTGAGTAAGTAAAAATAGCACTTTCACTTAATGTTTTTGTAGGGGAAATCTCCACCAATTGCATTTTGCAGCTTTAACTTAATATGTATGTCGCGCCATGTAGTTGACTTCTGAGCTAATATCTTCATATTTCCCATTATAAACAAGCCAAAGCGCGCACGGGACATGGCTACGCAAATGCGATTCTGTTCAGACAGGAAACCTATATTTCCATTTGTATTACTGCGTACCAACGAGAGTACAATTATATCTGCCTCCAGCCCCTGAAAACTATCCACTGTAGTAACGAACACTTCTTTTAAATTTGGGTTCTTTGATAACTGAAAAGACAAAAGTGTTTACGATATCTTCCCGTTATATATTTAGCTTGGCATACTTTCTTCTTGATTGATTCGACCTGCATGGTGTATGGTGTGAGGACAACCACTTCCTTATTTTTGTAACCGCTCACCTCGACCAAATGATGCACAATTTCAGCTACTTTTTTCGTCTCAAATTCATTGCATAGAAAGCCATCAAGTATCTGTGTCTCTGGCTCTTGATGCTGTAGAAAATATAGATTCAGCCGCATATTGCGTACAGAGGGAAAATTATAAACGGAATCATGACTCATAAGCTTTTGATATATAAGAGGACAGAGCAATTCGGCAAATGTATTGCGCATACGATATTGAATATTCAAGACGTTCACATGGAAATTTGACCGTATCAAACGCTCAAATAAGGAATGCGATTGAGACGAAGACTTCAGACCCTTTATATAGCTTATATATGGCTTCAGTTGCATATGATCACCAATCAAAATCACTTGCTCGGTGTAAGGTGTTAGGCATGGCAATATGTGAGCCTCTAGAATTTCTGCAGCTTCCTCGAATATAACTGAAATGGAGCATAAACATCTACTCTTGTTCATTATACGAATTATTCATTTTTTGCTTACCGATACGCGTTTTCAAAAATCGAAAAACAAAATTCATGCGCGCAGCACATGTTGTTGTCATAGCCAGAACATTCTTTTTAATTATCAAATAATGCTGGAAAATCATTCGTATACAGTTGAGCTTCTCTTGTGCATTCCAGATCAAGCGCTGCGTGGCCAATATATCCGAATAAGCCTTATCGGTATCATTAAAGGCAGCATACAGTGTCTGCAAGCGCTGGAAATGCTCTTTGATCTCCAGATTTACCATCCAATACAGACGCTTTAGCCTCGGATTGATCATGTGCGTATTAGTATCAGCTCGATAATTAAATTTTGCAATTTCCGGCAAACGAGATTGGCTACCAAAGCGAACAATACTGCTGGTAAACGTGCTAAGCTTCATCAAGAACTTATCCAATGAATCGTTTGTATATGTGACCACAACGATGGGCGCACAGAATTTAGCATGCTCCAAGATGGTTTTTATCAACTGCAAAGACAAATGCGTTTTACCCGTACCGGGTGGTCCTTGGATTAAATTGAAGTTCGTATTCAGAACGCGTTGAAATGCCTCGTGCTGTGATAGATTGAGCGGCATTTTGCGCAGCTTGTTTATAAACTTTTGACTCTCGTAGACTTTTGGTGGCTGTGTGTGATTCAAATATGCTGGGGATTTTGTTCTAGTCAAACCGTGCACTATATAATCAGACATAGGGAAGTTTATAACATTGCTGTTGGTCAAATATCTGTAGGCCTTCTGGTAAGGTTCGAAATAAACTGGTGTTTCAAACATGATCAGACATTTTCCATAAATGTTGCCAATATCGAATTGACGCACGATAGCGATAGTAATCTGAAAGATGAATGTGCTATATTTAGCTTAATAGTTTGGAGTCTTTGATGCTGGGTACTCACATAACCTTGACGGAGCTGTTTTGGATCAGTATTAACCACAATTGCCAGTATAAGATTGTTAAAATCGTAGCTGGTTGTAAAGCAAAGTAGAGTCCCATTTTTAAGTCTTAACAAAGCCTCTTCTAAAGATTTCTCACATTGAACATCCTGATTAGAAGTGCTTTTTCGCTGCATGGCCAAAATATCAACAAATAGCAGTTTGCTGTTATGTGCATTTGAAAAATGATCATTCAGCTTAATTTGCACCCCCTCCAAAGCGATCTGAAGCGGCATCATATTCTGAAGACTGCGCTTGCGATGGAGCCGCCGCACCAATTCCCGAAACGGAAGCAAAAACTGCTGACGAAGAAATAAGCGTTGGCTATTTATGTACTGAGTCGTACTGGTATAGCTCATCGTTAGTTTCGCAGCATGGAAGCTGGGTTCCCCATTCTGGGTTAGCCATTGCTTAACCTCCTCTAGGCTAGGGTATACCTGTTATACAAATAAAAAAGTTTATAAGTTGCTTAACATGCAAGAAAATTTACCTCTGCTGCTGGGTTTGGCGCCGATAATACATCCAAATCGACAGCAAAAAGATCGTGAAGCCGCTTTAGAAACTCTCGACATATCGGACGCTCTTCAATTATTGGATTATTATTGTTCTTCAGATTAGTCCAAATTTTAAATAAGATGTCCATGCCGTTCTCATCCAAAACATCAGCCCTTTGGGCCTGCATCAAAAGTGTTTGCATATTGCTAATAATGCTATCCACACGATTCATATCAGTCCACATAGTGCGAAAGCTTTTAGTGCACAGTTTACGGACCAATTCTTCATAGTGCTCAATGAGCGGAGTACACGCAGCAAATTTACTAAGCATATCATTGTGAAAGCCAGGCAACTCAAGTTCGCACAAAGTAACCAAAATGCGGGTATAAATTAATACGCGATCGATATTATCATTAGCGCCTATTTGATCGATGAAGAAATTTGGTTCGATTTCAGTAGCCAAATAGAGGAACATGCCCAAGGGCTGCAGATTTAGGATCTCTTGAAGCACATCGGTTGGAATTTTGGATGGCACCACGGCCTTAGCACGATTCCAATAGTTACAATAACGCCTCTGTCCCTGCGCCTGATGGCGTTCGTTGGCATTTTTGCGTGTTAGGCTTCGCAAAATTTTTTCTTTATCGGCCTGAAACCATTCCCAGCAGTCGTAATCTTCTCCAAAAAGTTCAACCATTATGATTGTATTCCGTTTTTCCCCGATTTATCAATTTAACTATTAAAGTATAGTGTATAATGTAAAAGATAATATATAATAAATAATTTGTTATATTTGCTGCAGTAAAAAAAAAAATGTGCTCTGATATACTAACTTGACACTTGCTCTTCTTTATTATTATACAGTTATTACTGTATTATATGAAATTTTTCAATATCAAAGCTTATCAAATCTATAAATTCCGCGCACACGTCGATGATCCCAATGGTTTTTGGTGTGACCAAGACTATAATAGTAAATATGGCAAAAAATTGGTTTATACCCAGCCAATTTAGTGAGGTATTTGTAAGCACACGAATTATTATGTGCAAAATTTGCCTAACTTTTATTCTTTGATTGAGTGAAAGCTCACAAACTGCTGTTAATAAAATGCAGAACAGTTTTGACAACTTCCGTAGAAAAGTCAATTTTTAAAAGTATTAATCGCACTCATGACTTACTTATAAAATACTTGTTATCAATATGTTGATCGAAATATGGCACATCGCTATTATCTAAATGAAACGATAGGCAACTCTAAAACTGCATACAAAACCCGGTATTCCCATTAAATTTGTGGACTTCGAAGCACGTAGACAAGAAATAATTCGCTATGTCTGACTCTGATGACGATTGGTTCAACAAGGACGAGGATGAGCTTGTGGAAAATCTACAACAACAACTAAAGCAAAAAGTTGTCAATGAGACACGCGAGGAGCGCATTGACTTTTGCGACAGACCTGGTAAGAAAATAAAACTAAAATGAAAGCTGAATATAATTTTCAAATATATTATATTAATATTAAATAGACAGTTATCTCCAACAACTTAGTTTCGATGACCCACAAGATGCTAAAAGTCCCGGTCGTTTTACTACCGCTGAATTTGCAAAGGCACTGAAGATGACGGCACTCGAAATGTTCCTCTACTTGATGTCCGGACCGCGTAATCTCTTCAAAGATCAGATACTGTCCAATGATTCTCACAAACGTGTCGTTCAATATGTGCAAATACTGTCGATACTTTGTCAATTGGAGTTGGGCGGTTTTGATGATCAATTCCTCTCTGGTTTTGCCACGCAATCGGCGCTCTTTGAGCACATTAAACGCGTCGCCCTGAAAGTCTTTGAATCAAGTTCCAAATATAGTTTAGATGACGAAACTCAATTGTTGCTGCGTGGCTTTAAAAATTTGCTCATTCGTGCTCACAGGATGGGTAAACTACAGCCATATGGATACGACCTAATCGAAAATTTTAAAACGTTGATCTCCAGTTGTCAAATCCCTCAGCTATTAGAACATCCGCTGTGTGTGGAATTCGTCAAAGACTTGCAGGTTCTGCCCAGTGTTGTATATGTAAAGAACGAAATCTATCCTAATCTAGATCAATTACTACGAACTGATACCGTCGATACCGAAGCTAAAATTGCACCTGCACCCAACACTGTCGACGTCGCTCGCTATATAGACTGGCACCGTCAACTACTCTGCGAGGACTTTATGCAGCCATTACGTGAATATGTACAGCGCCTTCGTTCCAAGAATAACCTCGACGAATTGGTGACGCAAAATCTACTTTTCCCCCAAACACAGCTAATATTGAATCCAGTATTTAAGGAAGCAGACCGAAATAGTTTAATTTTCATGAAATTCGTTGCTCCTCATCAAGATGAAATCAATTACCTAAAGAATGTTAAGGGTGGAACTTTGCTGTGTTTCACTACCAGCTTTGATTTTGATAATCTAATTTTAGCCACTGTAGCGTATACTAGTCCCGATATGATACGACAAGGATATGTAAGTTTGTTTTAATTATCCTTTGATGATCAGTTTCTTAATTAAAATATTCTTTAGCGAAGCGTGGAGATTGCTAAGCAGTACAATATTGGTAATATCTATAACAAAAATTTGATTATGTTCGAGACACCGGTATTCTTTGAGCCCTATTTGCGTGTCCACAACTATCTAAGTACCTGCAGCGCGGATAATTTTCCTATGAGACGCTACATTGTTGAGGGTGAGGTAAGTGGGGTACGCTAAGTTTGCTCACGTTAACATTAATCATTGAAATTTCGCAGGTTGATGTTCGCCCACCGGCTTATATTCGGCCAGATATTCAATTAACTTATTACAATACGCCATTTACGGCAGCTGAGCCGCCGCTGGAGACGAAACTGAATCAATCACAACGAGGCGCTTTAGGCGCTGCTCTTCGCAACGAATTCTGCATTATACAAGGACCACCGGGCACAGGCAAAACGCATTTATCCGTAGAGCTGGTCAACACTCTGCTGCAGAATGCCGAGCGTCTTAAATCGGGGCCCATTGTTGTGTTGACCTACACAAACGATTCGCTAGATAAATTCTTGCTGAAGGCCGCCCAGTACACGGACAGCATTGTACGCTTTGGGAATCAATCGCGTTTGCCTGAAATCGAGAAATATAATGTTCGCTTAATGACCGAGGATCACCTTGTGCCGCCGCGCCTCAAACGGCTATGGTGGTTGGTCAAATGCGAGTATAAGGAACAATTTGAACGATTGCAGACTTTGCATGCCGATTTTGATGGCTCCGAACCTGCCTATTTAGAAATACAGTCGACACGAGAGCAATTGCAACTGGTTGCCGAAAAGATAAATACGCTGCGCACAATATTCCAGTTTCATCAGTCACGCGATAAGGCTCTGCTAGCCATGACAACCTCATGTGCTGCACGGCTCAACTTTCTATTCCGTCTGCTTGAAAGCAAATGCTTTATCTTTGAGGAGGCTGCTGAGATAGCTGAACCACATATCCTGGCATGCCTGACGCCCTACACGGAGCATGTCATACTGATTGGCGATCACAAGCAGCTGCAGCCACATACGGGAAACTATACGCAGCAAGGACTTCAAGTGTCGCTCTTCGAGCGCTTAATTACGAACGATTTTCCCGCAAGTGTCCTCAATGTGCAGTATCGTATGCGCAGCTGTATTGCTGAGCTCTTGGTACCCATTTTCTATGATAAGCTTATCACCGATGATTCGGTGCAGGCCTACCCAAATGTGCCAAAAATGGCAAAGAACATGTACTTTGTCAATCATACGCATCCCGAGGAGCAGATGGTTTGAATATTTGTGTTGATTGGTTGCTTTGAATTGCCGTTTAATTATATCCTTTTGATTTATAGATGGACCTGTCCTTTATAAACAAACATGAAGCTGAAGAGTTGATGAACTTCATGGCACATTTGAGACATGATCCTAGCAACATTGTAATACTATCGCCCTACAATGCCCAAGTTGAATACATTAAATCACTATTAATGAAAAAGAGGCAAAATAGATATTTGGTCACCAGTGTGGATAGCTACCAGGGCCTGGAAGCAAACATTATTCTACTGTCGCTGGTGCGCAGCAATACGGCCGGAAAGATTGGATTTCTCGGATTACCGAACCGCGTTTGTGTGGCCCTATCGCGTGCTCGTTGGGGTCTCTATATGATTGGCAACATGGAGACGCTGCAGCAGGGCAGTTCCGAACTTTGGGGAGCTATCAATGCTAAGCTGCTAGCAGCAAATGCTATAGGCCCAGTGTTTCCGTTGGCCACTGAAAGTACTCCTTAGGGAACCCATTTTGACAATGGCTATAAGCTGTTTGAATTATTATTGTGTTTTGTAAATAAAATACGTTGGTTTTTCAATTTCTGTATGTTTGCTTTTTAATCTAATTGCAGTTTTCTTTTCATTATTGATTTTTGTAATCAAAGTTCGCCGTACGATAAATGAAATTGATGAATTTGACTTTGTTGTCAAGAATTGTACACTTAATATTCACTATATTGAACCTGTTGTTGCTGTCAAACCGATATTTATGTTTCTTTTTTAACGTTTATGTCTTACTGTTGGCTATTACTACATTCAAAAATGTATTTTTGAAAAGTTATGCGTATGCTGCTCGCTTGGTTTTTCTTTGTCGTTGATTACATAGGATACCATAAGGCCTGTTAACAATATTTAGAATTTCTTTTCGCTGCTCTCATACATAATGCATAATATATATGTGTCAACTCTTTGTTGTAAATGTACTATATTATGTTCTTACTGTAATTTCTTAGTTCAAAATTGCAGACTTCGTAACTGTATAAACTGTATCTGTAGCTTATATATCTGTATGTATGTAGCTATCTATATGCATAAATCTGAATGTACATTATGTTTAGAGAACGCAGCTCTCTCTATGTGTTTGTTCAACGATTTCATGATATATATATATATATATATATATATATATATGTATGTTTGTATGTATATATAGTTTTATAATCCTTTCTGTGGCCCAGTTATTGTTTGCGAATTAAGGCAATTTTGAAAATTATCATCAATTGTATTTTTAAATCGTTTTTTTTTTTTAAAACTTTGTTTTTTTTTTCTTTTTCTTTTTTTTCTCTTTTTGCTTAATTTTTACAATAGTTTTTTTTCTTTTGAATTTTTTACTTAAAGTTAGCTTATTTTGTTTTTGTTGTGTGTCCATTATGTATGCATGTGTGTATGTATGTATGTATGTATGTATGTAAATATTTGCGAGTCAGCTTATGAAATATGCTAAATGTTGTGTTTTACAAGAACGTAATTTAATTATGTGTATTTATATAGTTTATTCGATGCTAAAACTGAAACTAAAATTGATAAAATAGAATGAGAAACGCGGCGTGTAAGATCAGCAAGTAAATATAAGTTTATAGACAGGTCCGCAGCTCCGTTTGCGTGTCATAGCGCCTCCATAGCATAATAGGTCGAATTTGTAGATATCCTATTATCCATCCATGGGGCGTCGGATTCTGAACGCACTTGACAAGCCAGAGCACAAAGAAGCGGATCCTCTAAAACTTCGTCATCTTAGAACTCATAAGTGAATACAACTGAATTATTAATAAACGGCGCTCTCGACGTTGAAATTGGTCGTATTTTCCTTTTGTTGTGTTTTGTTTTTGGTGATTGATGGGGGGAAAGAGGTATGTTGTGTTTTGTTTTTGTGTTTCTTCCCAATTTGGGCTCATCCGATGGTTGGCGTGGTTTGCGGTTTCCGTATTGTTCCATGGGTGGATGGGCGGTGGCTGCTGTTGCTATTGTTTTGATTGTTGCTGGAGTTTCTGCTGTTGCTGTTGCTGTTGCCGCTGCTACTGCATCCCTGATAACTGAGCTGCAGCGTTCCGCCACTGCCGGAGGCTGTCCGAATTGTGGTTGTTGTCGTTGTTACCACCATATTCGTTGGCCTACCGCGCCGTGTCTATTGCTACCGTCGATTGATCAGCCCATTTGGTGGCGCCTGCTGGCTGGCAGTGTGCATTAGCTCCAGTTCAACCAGAAGTGGAAAGTGATCGGAGGGAATATGCGGATGCGGACAACCGACCACTTTGTTTTCGCGCAGCCAGTCAGTAGAAACAGGTCCCAGCAGGCCCAACGGCACCATTCCGGTCTTTGTGTAGAAAATATAATCAATGATGCCCTTAAAATCGAACGTATAGTTGGTATGCGGCATGATGTCCTCGCTATAGGCGGAGGCAAGCTTAAAGGAATGCGTAAACTCATTGGTATCGTTTGAGAGTAACCGTTGCAGGCATAGCTTGTAGCCCATGTCTTTGAAATCTAAATGATCCATTGCAACACGCCCCTTGCCCAAAAACTCCACCACACCCGAGTCCGGCAACGAATTGAAATCGCCGCATAGTAGCAACTGAACACTGTTTGAATCGTTTTTGTGGCCAGGCCGGAAACTGTGGCTAGCTTCGTCAATGATCGTCTTCAGTTCATTGCTCAGCATCATGGTCTGTATGAGCTTGACGTCACAGAATTCGGGATCCCAATGTATGTGGGCGGTGCACACGAGCAGCGGCTGTGAGATCTGCGTTACTTCGGACATTGGCTCCCAGGCGGTCTCCTTAACTTTAAGCAGGGCGGCCAGACCAATGTTGTCTTTGGGCATCACACGATTTAGCATGTTGTCCGAGCCCTCCGCATTGGCCATGGCCAGCTGATTGAATTCAATTAAGTGCTCCTTGATCAACGTAAATCTGAAGTAAATTCAATTTTTAATTTTTATTCGAATAACAGTCTAACTTGACTTACTTTGATGTTCGGAAAAATATCGCACATCCGTCAACGTATTTTCTTTCAATTTCCGACATTGTCTTAGCACGCGACTTGGGCGAGAAGATGCCCTCGTATCCATCGTTCTTCAGCTCGGGCAGGAAAAAGTGATAGAACTGTTCAGTCTCGATCTCCTGCAAGCTAATTATGTCCGCCGCATAATGCCTTATCTCGTCGATAATAGATTTCTTCCGATACTGCCAGTCCAGTGCCCACGATGGACAATATCCGTACATTTGCCGCGTCGCATATTTCTCACATAGCACATTGTAACACATAACCGTAAATATGCCTGCAAATTAACAAGTATTTAGTAAAATAATATTTATGTGTCCATAAAGTTGCATTATATATTATTAGTATATTCTTTAAATTTATAGTTAATATAGGAACATTAAAATTTAAATTGAGGCACTTTAATACCATAAACTTTGAAAAACAAAAATAATTCCTTGGCTAGCCAAATGATTCATGATAATGGTTAATTTAACACAAAGAAGTTGTCCAAAATCAAATGTAATAAATGTTCAGATTAGTAATGTCTGGGACTTTATTTTAGATAAATATTAAGACGTAATGCAAAATAAGCAAACGATGTCGTAGTATAGTACGATAGACGAAGACCTCGGAAATTCAAATTAAAATGATGATCTAAATATCGATACAGAAAATATATATCGATAAACCTGTGCATATTTTACATGTTACTAATTTGGCAGTTAGTTTTTGAGTGTTACATAAAACTGCACGCGATTGCATTAAGCTTGTCTATTAATGCAACTGCGCAATTTTTGAATGACTACATGCATGCATTCATACAGCCAGATATGTACATATGTATGTATGTAGTTAATTCATTTGAGATTATTTTGCTAATCGTCCTCTTTTACGATTTAAACATCTACTTACAGGCTGGTCGCGATTTGTTGGGCTTAGCGAGCGGCAGCCATGGCCTCTGGGGCGGTGGATTGACGGTAACTGTAAAGAAATGAAAAAAGAGAGCAAACGTTAGTTGCATATTCGATGAACTGGTTGAGGGGAAAAGTTAAAGAGACGATTATGAAATTAGCGCCCGTACACCCGCACACACACGCGCATACACACATATACAGCTGCACACCCCACTGACACACTGCGATCTCTTCTTCACTGCCTTTTACTATTGTTGTAGTTGTTGTGATCGTGTTCGCGAGCGGTGAAAGTGACATGCAAAAGCAATCAAATCGCTTCCGCCTTCGGTTCGCTAGCAAATGGCAGTCAGGCAGGCAGACAGACAGGCAGGTGGCGGCGTCACTGGCGTTGTATTTATTTCCACTATACCTGGGTTTCTCCAACTGCTTACGACCTGTGCCTGTGCCTGTGACTTTGGGTGCGCGTGCGGGTGTGGGAGGGTCACGACGCAGCGTGCCACCCCGCCGCCACCAATTCTGTTATTCGCCGTTTTTGTTGCCGTCAACTGCCGCTGAAGCTGCTGCATCGGCTTACACCATTTTCTTTGGGGATGTAGCTGGTATTTTCGCTATCGCTTCTTCTGCTGCTTGCCGATTCTATTATCGCCTGCCTATTTGGCGCCGTTGTGCGTGAGCGTGTCTGCGTATTCTCTGTCCGTGGAACGAACGTGTTGCTGCAGTTTGCTGGTGCTGTTGTTGTTGCTTGCTCGCGCGCTCTCGTCTGCTCAGCAGCTGATCGCGCGCTCTTGGTACTCGATTGACTCTCACGAGCGAACAGGCGGCGTTGTCGGCGCAGTTATTGTTTTTTCTTTTGTTTCACTTGGCCGGTGTGTGTGAGTGTTTGTGTCTAGTGTGTGAGAGTTTGAATTTTGTTTTGTTTTGATTTGGAAGACACTACGATTGTTTTTCGTGTTTTGCTTTTCTGTTAATTTTGTGCAAACGGACGAAAGACGATGAAAAACTTTCACTACTTTTTTTTATTTGTTTTTACTTTTTTTTTGGTTTTTTAATAAACTTTGGGATTTTTCATAATTTTGTTGTTGCTTTATTAGTTGTTGGTCGACTGCGTTTTAGTTGTACTTGGGTCTTATATTCATTCATTTAACTGCCTCTAACATCGAAATTAACTAAATTTGCATTGCATTTTAATAGCTCAGCTTGTGGAGGATACTCCTCAGTAGTTATTTAATATTTTTGTTTATGGCTTCACAGAATGCAACAAATTATTAAAAAAGAAAAAAAAAGAACAAAATAATGTAATGTTTTGTTTTTGTGGGTGTATAGAAATGTTTATAATAACTAAATATTTTTAAAAAATAAAAAACAATTGACAAAAACTTGGCAATAAGCTCAATGCCAACTATTTCATTCGGGTTTTAGGAGTAGAGCACCGCAGAATTACGAAACTTTTACCAGTAAAGCTACGCCCGCCCACACACGTACAGCCCAGTCGATAATTTCGCCAAACCTATGAGTAATTACCAGAGGCAAAAAATAAAGCAGACAACTGCAGGTTATGGCGGGGGTGTCAAAAACTTGAGCACACAAATGTGACTATTCATAGATAATAAATGGGTTACAAAACCGTCAAATATATAAAACAC